TTGTCGTTGTGCGTCGAAAAGTCGACGGGAGGTGCTGCGTATCTACGGAATGATCTACGGCTTATAGCGAGCCGGTTTCCGTTTCCTGGTCTTTATAAATCGTGCTCCATAGTATATTCGCGGGAATTACCACGTGATGGGAACTAAATTCCTCCGCAAGTTTTCCAACTAAGTCTGTTTGCTTACAAGATTACACGTAAAATAATTTACTCTGTGTGGTTACATCCCCCTAGTTTTACTCACTAGAAGTAGTGGTGAAATTTCGGAAAATCGAACTAGTATTCTGATACCCGCACGATCACCCTAGAGACGGTTTCTCAGCGTAAATAAAATATAGCTTTGTTGGCATTTTTTTTAAAGCATATAAATATAATCAGAAATAAATTTGGTTTGCTGTGAATCGTGCTCCGTAAATCAAAGGTGGAGCTTTATATGAAACAAAAACTATATATTGGTGGCAAGGCGTGAAGCCTTGTTCCGCACTATCTGGAGTAAGGCAGAGGTACTAACACAGAATATGTCGTGTATTGTTCCGAACATCAGCCGAGGATTAAATCACCCGCGTCGTCATAAACAGGCTGAGTCTGCGTGGAGAATACAAAGAATCCAGAGTAGAAGAGAAGGGAACAGAATTAAGGCAACGTCTCGATAACCTCGCTTCCTTTTCAATCGGCATCAAATTCACAGCGAAAGGGTACAGGGTTCGATCCCCACCAAACGCTTTCTCGCTTCTTTTTTTTTTTTTTTTTTCTTAATTTTTATGTGCCGTTTAGTTTCGTCCCCGAGAAGGGCGTTCTTCCGTTTCAGAAAATGCTGAGCTAGCCAGTCGAAAAATACATTTTAACGCGATAGTGTCAGGCAGCTCGTACCGCAGAAAATCCGGCGTCGGCGTCAAAGTTTGCGTCGGCGTCACCGTCGGTGGGACCAAACAATTCCATAATGCAACGCGCGCAGCCACGTTTGACATGACACGTGACTGCGCGCGTTACATTCTGGGAATTAGCCACTAAATTTAGCGGGAACATTTTCCCGCCAAATTTAGAGGAAGATTTGCCCGCCAAATTTAGCGGAAAGTTTTCGTGCCAAATCTAGCTGAAAATTTAGCGGAAACCGACTAGACCACGCACACACGCTTCCAGGGCTTGGCAACGAGCACACGTTTACTATATGAGAATAACGCTCTGCGAACGGGACCCGATAACGCTATCGCGTTCCACTCTTATACCCGTGCCACACGGGCAACTCGAATGCCATTCACAACGAAAGACATTTGAGCGGACGGCCAATCAGCGCGCGACACTCCGGGCGTGGCGCATTCCACGAGCTAGAGATTGCGAGCTGATTCGCCGATCACACAAATGTCATTCGTTGTAAATGGCATTTGAGTTGCCCGTGTGGCACGGGTATTAAAGGCGAAGCTTAAGCGATCCCTCGAGTCTTTTTGACAAAAAGGGTGGGTTCGGGCCGAGCTCGGGCACGGCTCACATTACAAATAACAACCGGGCTCGGGCCTGGTTCGGGTCGGGACCTTATCGGGCCGGGTTGGGTTGGGAATTAAAATTCCGGCCTGATCTGATCTCCTAGTCGAGTTTTAACACCAACTCCCCGTTAAAGTCGTTTGCACGCGGTGGTGATGATGTATATACTGGCCTTCGTATGGACATTCTGAAACGAGCAAACCAACAAGAACAACGACGACAGCAAAATAAAATAAATAAAAGCAGTAAGTCACAGCTGGAATTCTATCGGATTCACAAAGCCGCAGCTCCATAGTGTAACGGCGGATGAAGCGGCCACGAAACGCTCTTGCGAACGAAACACAGAGAATGTAGTGCGCATGTTTGTAATATCTGATATCGAATATTTCGCGCGATACGAATCTAGGCCCAGCAGAGCCGTACACACTCAGCTACCATAGTCACATTTCAAACTGGTTCGACCCGCCGCGCACGCGAAAGCCAAGGCACCACCGCTCCGTGCCGACTCCCAAAGTAGATCGTGTTGCTGGAACGGGGGCGCCTTTTTTTTTTATATTTCGGGGCGGTCCTCAGAAGAAGTCACGTAAAGACGATTGCCTTCCCGTACCGACGGCGAGGTCTTCGCTTTATCGAAGAGTGGAAAAAAAAAAAAAAAAAAAGAACTTTCAGCCTTTCCGCTTTGGTGAAGAAGGAAGACCAGCGAATCTGTACTATGGTGGGAATGAAGTAATGGCCGGCCGTAAGTCGGCAAGCTAGAGTGGAAAGGTTGGACAGCTACCGCCATCTATGAGCGACGGCGGCAACCGGAGTTTCGTGTCATCATTTGTTTGCTGACGGACACGACACTGGGGAAACTCGCCCAGCTCCGCTGTAACAAAATGCGGGCTTCGTATAGGAAACAAACTATTTGCGGGTCACGCAACATTGCACGTATACACGTATATTCAAGAGCATCCTGCAAAAATGTACCAAAAGAATTAGGCTCGTAAACCCAAAACAAAAAACAAACAAAAAACAAAAAAAAACTGGAAGTGTGCTAAATTTACGAAACAATTTTCCTCAGGGGCACCGTCGCGTCGCCGTTAATTCGGTTATTTCTAACGTTGTAACGGTAGAAAACATTGTTACACAAAGACAAGGAAGACAAGTTGGGGGCGCTCGGAAGTGCGCGGCGAGTTTCTCGACTGTCGATCGAAGACAGGGCCGAGACAAAAGAGAAAAATGATAGATCAAGCGCAGCACAATAGGAAACCCACAATAGAAACCGAACCCCACCAAACATCGCGCTCAAAAATATTCCGTTCGGCAACACCTAAGTCGCGCCACAATGTCCAGCTCGCGGAAGAGATTACATCCACTCGTACACACACACACGTCGTTGCACCCCCCCCCCCCCCCCCCCCCCTTTTCACCAATACTCCTAAAATAGTCCTCTGTTCATCTCACCATCCATCATTTCAAAAACGCGCCCGCATACGACCAAACGCACGCACACACACACTCGCAATCAGCGAGCGACGATCGCTCGAAGCCCGATCCGACGACATTTTAAAATAGTCACTGCCTACAGATCGGCGTCCCGTATTCCAGGGGCCTCAACCCCTCCCGAGGCACCCTGCAGTCCTGAAAAGAGCGACCGTTGCAGCTTTCGTTCGAGTCTCTCCACCACGCATATAATGCGACGACGTCCGATTTTTATCCCCCCCCCCCCCTTCGCCCCCCCCCCCCCCCCCCCCCCCCCACACACACACACACACATTTTTTTTTCTCCTTGTTACTTTCTCTTTGTCTTATTTCCTCGATCCCTCCTCGTTTCGCTACACGCTTCCCATTCCAAGCAGCCGAGGAGGAACTCGGCCCGAAATTTAGCGCGGGTCGCGTGTGCACACGGTCAATTATAGGGGGGTCCGCGTACGTCCGCGTCGACGACGTTTTTGCGCCGCCGCACCGACGGCTATCGGCGTAATCGCGTTCAGTCGGGCTTCGGGCGTGTGTACGCAAATAATTCTGGCGTCGGGTTTGCAGCGAGTGCCCGTGTCTTTTGTAAGAGAGCACGACAGCGCGGCCTCAAAGTTCCCATAGTGCCGCCTGATTCTGCCTGTTGAACAAAGCGACGAGCAAAGAGGTGCCACGTCACATTGAGGTGATGCGCTCGAAGTGCCCGGATTGGTCGGGACGGCTTGTAACGTCGGCCCTGGTCCAGCTTACGGGGTAACCGCGGAATGTAACGGCGCTCCTTTTAGGTGGACGACCGACGGCGCTTTTTTCTTCGTGCTCGTTCTTCCGAGTTCGGGAAACGGGTTCTCGAACGTTCGCTCGAAAGCGGGGTCCATTACGCCGACCCGTCCCCGGAACGCGGGCGGAAAAGGAAAATGCGCGCGGCGGGTGGCGGGACGGCGTGGAATGGACGCGATTTTGTTTGGGCTTATTACGCATGCGTCGCCATCACCCGTGGCCGATATATGTTCCCCGCGTAGAGAGAACAAAGCTCTGTCGTCCGGCGAATATGTCTTTCCTCTAAAACCACACCGAATGTGTAGCATCAACTCGTATTCGCCTATAGCGCCTAGGCCAGAGAAAAACACGGAATTTTCGTAGCTAAAGAAAACGTTAGATACTTTTTTTCTCTCTCTCTTTCTTTGGCCGACTTGTGTTAAAAATAAGCACGTTACGATTAAGATCAGAATAAACACTTTGTAGCCTCCGTCTTGGGTTTTAAGAATGTTGTACTCTTTTCATTGCAGTGTTGAGAAGCGAGATGCGCACTGTCCATTCCGCGGGTGTAGCTTCCCCACCGCGTACCAGTACCCGGAGAAAAGCGCACCTAACGGAGTCAACTTACGAGCCCATACAGCTCCTCGAGTAATGGGAACTATTGCGAAATCCGAACACCGTCGTGTTCGGTACGATGCTTGAATGGAATAGCACGCTGATTTATAGCGGCCCAGCCGGGGGGGCGGCACCCGAGTTATTTGTATTTGTATTGAAAAAGGTCAATGCATTTTGTGGCACTATGTTTGCAGAGTTTTCTTAGAAATTAAAATATACTGTACATCACAAAGTAGTAGGGCAATCCCTTTGGAACACTAATCACATCACCGGGCGCACACTAGCTTCCTCCTCAACAACCCATGTTTCCCCTCAACCAGACGGTTTTGTCTTTTGACGACGATACATACTAGATCATTGTACCTACTGGCCACGAATATTCCACTTAACTGAGCGTGCCGGAGGTGAAATAAAAAAATATAAATCCTCACAAAAAAAAAAAAAAACGTTTTAGCCATTTTGAGAAGCTGAGGCGCCACACGGAGAACCGATGCCGTGCTATCGAGATGATCAAACGCGACAGAGAAGGGTCGTCCGGTACCCGACAGCTAACTTCCCTTTCCGGGTCCCTTTAATAGACCCATAAATTATGCAGATCATTCTTATGGGTAGATACAACGTGGCAGAGTCGCTTGCCTCGATTCGGACGCATATAGGTCATTGCTGAAGGCTTCTTTGTTTGCCCCCTTGCAGACACCGAGAGGCAGGACATCGAGTGCTGCAAGTACGCGCCCGAGGACCGTCACCCTAACTGTATGGGCATCGACATCCCTCACGACGACCCCTTCTACAAGTTCTTCAACAGAAAGTGCCTGGACTTCGCCAGGATCCTTGCTGGACTCAGGCCTTCTTGTACGCTCGGTAAGTGCAAGCCCGCCGTGGTACCCTAGAGGTATACTCTTACCTCGTGGGCCGAAAGGTCACTTGCGAAACAGTTCAGCACTCACGTTGCAAATTGGGCCAACTGGTATATGTTGTGCGTGACGGGGATGAAGAGCTCAGTAAACGCAGACGAAGAAAATACACAGCCTTTCTTGGGCTGTGTATTTATGCAGACACAGCTTTGCTATGTTATGGTTGTCTTTCTTCGTCTCCGTTTACTGAACTGTTCACCCACATCAAGTACAACATTTCTTCTCGGCATAGCTTTGCAAAGACAAAAGCTACGGTCGCCATGACTCAATCAGAGCTACGCAGCGAATCACGTAACAAAGCACCACTGGAGGAGCGCACTGCTATGGTACAGTCACGTGACTCGCTTCAATGCTCCGATTGGCTCGCTGGGGCCTTATTCCTTCCAATGTTTGTGAAGTGAAGATAAACGAAGTACATAAGGCCCAAGTACCATCTTATCAACGCTCTTCATCACTCGACCAACAAACGATTCTGATTCCCCAACCAGGACCCCGATCTCAGATGAACACACTCTCCTCTTTCATCGACGCCGGATTCGTTTACGGCGGCACCCAGGAGATTGCCAGCAGACTTCGGGAGTTCAGCGGAGGTAAACGATTTTTTCTCTCCATACGCTCGCAAGCGCAGATCAAAGACACATCAATAACGTACCGTGTCGCTCACACGTTCACGTCTTGTAGGCCGTCTCAAGAGCACTCCCCTGTACCGCGACCTCGGCCTCAAGGACATGCTGCCGATGAAGACCGTAGAAGCCGACGTAGGATGCATGGCCAGACCCAGGAGCCTGTACTGCTTCGACGCTGGCAAGTACATCCTTCATCGTTCACTCTCGCGATCACCGTGATTCGCAATCGAAGGGCACACTTCCGTCCAGTTACGTTCCGCCACAGGCCGAAGCCTGCTAAGGAGCTGTCTTGAGGGCAATCCGCCAGCAAGTAACAATCTTGCTTCCAAGGCGCCTCTAAACTCTCTTGATGGTCCACTGCGAGATCACTGTCGACACAGCACCAGAAAAAAAATTATGAGAGCCCGCGGCGGCAATCACCGACTAAATCGCGGCAGCGAATACAAACCCTCTATCTTCTCAAACACAATGGCCCTTCAAAAAGAAAGAAGAGCACAGTGACGCGACGTGAAAAGGTTGGTCAGGGTCGTAACCGGGAGGAACTCGCTCAACACGATTAAGAAAACGAACGCTCTCTTAAGGTGTCAAAAATAGACTGATCCATCAGGGCATGTTGGACCACAACCAACCAAAAACGTGAATGAGCCCTGCGCTTGATTGGCTTAGCGCATGACAGCACACAGATGAAAAGCCGCGGATGCCGTGATGTTATGCTTTTGACACTGCTTGATGGCGCCATCAGCTATCGGCGGCGATCATACTTAAAATGGAAGGAAGTAAATTGTTTCGCTGATGCCTGTGCGGGCAATTCTCTTGAAACACAGCCAAGGAAGGCCGCCGATATAGGTTCTCAATTACAGGTCATTACCGAGTAAGCTACTGGTCCGACAGTCCTATGCTCTAGGATACCTCCAACTCCAGCTCACCATTCGATCTATCGATGTAAACTTACTCGAGGACGTTGGCAAATTACACAACTAGCGAAGCGTCTGCAATTTCAAGCGACTCAATTTAGGCAAAACAGTACGGCTTGTGCTCTGATGCTGTTGATCTGATTCAGGCTTGACCCATGACGGTACGGTTCTTGCGACGAGCTTGTTGAGTGGACCCTCTTGCAGACAAGGAAAAACGAAGACGTATGTATATCATCAAACTGCTTCTCGCAAGAATGCAGCAGACTTCAGACGTTTGCAGTTCCTGCAGATACCAGTTGTATTACAAAGAAAACGCGCGAACAAGGGCTCTTCTATATTGTTCACTAGAGTAGCTGATACTTGCAGAGCAAGACTTGCAACGGTAATACGGACGTACAGGTCGGAAGGAACATCCCATCACCTTGTAACATGTCCCACTTACCCGATGCTCGATTACCAGAATATCAGCTTATCTGGACACGACCAATTCTACGGTTCATATGATTAGATCGAGGGGCAGCGGATATGTTAATACGATATCTTCGGCAGCAAGCATTACTATTGAATCATCGACACTACTCCATTTGTTTATCACAAGTTTTGATGAATCATACACTAAATCTGGCGTCGTAATAGCCAAAATAAGTGATCACTTAGGGATATTTTCGTGTATACAAAATAAAATGGCAAACAAAAATAAGAAAAAAACAGAATAATCAGTCAATTAAATTACAAAACGTAACGCCCGATAGCTTAAACGATTTTGGACAGAAGCTGTCTTGTTTGGACTGGAACGACGTCCCTCAAGAAATGAACGCCGATGCGGCATATAATTTGATTCTGAATGAATTTCAGAAACTATATGAAAATTGTTTTCCACATAAATTACTACATACTTCTAAAAAGAGTCGTAAACCATGGATAACAAAAAAATTACTCACAAAAATTCGTACCAAAAATGCGCTATATAATAAATTCGTAAAAATCAGAGAATGCGAAAAACTGAAAATTTTTAAACTGTATCAAAACCAACTAAACAAAAAAACTTCGAAATGCTAGAGAAGTGTATTTTTGTGAGTTCTTTATAAGGTGTAGTAACGAAATCCACGTTGTATAGAAAAAAAAAAACTAAATTCTGTCTTGGGTCGTTCCTGTGCGCCGAAACAAATAGAAAATATAAACAACAATGGCCAGGAGTTATCAGGTCGAGCATTGGCAAATGTATTTAATCATTATTGTGTTAGCCTCGTTAAAGAAAGCCCCGAGTCAGATGCGTGCAAGTATATACATTTTCAAAGCGATGCATCAACGTTTCTTACGCCTATCATTGATACAGATGTCATATCTGTCTTTAATGCGCTCAAAAATAGTAAAAGTTGTGATTCCAAATCACGCTGGTTAAGCATGTTATTGATCTCATTTCTCCTTGCTTAACGTACATCTTTAATCTATGCTTGCTAGCCGGAGTATTTCCCAGTCGAATGCAATTAGCTAAAGTAACAGTCATATATAAAAATGGTGATAAAAATGACGTAGGTAATTACCGACCCGTTTCAATCCTATCGGTACTTCCAAAGGGCCTAGAAAAAATTATAAACCTTAGAATGATAACATTTGCGGATAAACGCAACATATTAAGTTCATGTCAATTTGGTTTCCGTAAATATTGCTCCATCGAACTCGCTCTTTTAGCCCAAAAAGAACATATACTTAAATATTTTGGGGATAAAAAACCTTACTCTCGGTATATACGTCGACTTCACTAACGCTTTTGACTACCTGGATCATAATTCGCTAATTAGGATATTAAATGAGCATGGGGAAAAAGGAAGAAGAAGTCGAACTTATCGTTGCTGATCCTGAGCTCGTCTCTATATTTTTCCTTTTTAATCAAAGTTCTCACCTCCCTGGCCAGCCAAAGGCAACATTTTCTTCGAATTGAGTCGATCGCTCATCTGCCATGGCCGAGGCCGGCCCTTCCTCCGGCCAGGACATACCTTCAGTCGAAATGGAAGATCTGCCTATGGGTACGTCAAGTGCTTCGAGCACAATCTCCTACTACGAGAGCATCTCTGACGATCCCGGTGACGATTCCGACCCATATAACCTGGTCCAGAGTCGCAAAAAACGCAAAGCCTCCAGCAGCTCCGAGACAAGTAATAAGACCGTCAGAAACACGAAACAAGAACATCCCCACCTTGTAGTGGTACTGAAGCCAAAAGATCCATCCAAAATAATCGCCACAATTAATCCGCTGAAAATCACCGAGAAGCTAGAGATGACTGCCCCAGATGGAATTATCCTTGTCAGGCCAAACCGAAGGCTGAATCTACTCGCTATAGACACGAGAAACAGAGATGCGACAAAAGCTTTGCTTGCACTGACCACCATCGGAGGCATCCCTGTCCAGGCCTACGAGCCTTTTCCCCGTGAATCGGCCATCGGAGTTGTATACGGAGTACCGTCAGACATAAACGACACGGAACTTCAGGTGGCTATACGAGCTACGGCGCCTGTTATCTCCGTTCGTCGGCTAGGCACGTCCCAAGTTGTTAAGGTTGTCCTCAACACAGACATTTTGCCGGAATACATCACGATTGGATATACAAGATACAGGATGGAACCGTTTGTAGAGAAACCTCGCCAATGCTCGAAATGCAATGGGTTTGGACACATTCGAACCGCGTGCACGGAAGAGTCACGTTGCACACGCTGTGGAGGACCACATGAACGCACCGGCTGCAATGCAGACAACCCCCTCTGCACGAACTGCGGCAAAGCTCATGACTCGACATCTCATCTTTGTCCGGCATACCAAAGAGAACAAAAGATATACAAGTACAAGAGCCAAGCTAAAGTTGGCTATGCGTCCGCGAAAGCGGCGCTGCTCTCATCGAAAGAACAACTGGCAGAAGAGACCCCTAAAACGACTGCGTCAAAGGAAAAGAAACCATCTGCAGCTCAAGAACTCCCAACGAGCGAAGACTCCTCATCAGCCAAGCAGTCCAGCCTGAGACACCTGCAGAAAAACGCGAAGAAAAACACGAGTAGTCCCCCAATCAAGTGGAACAGTGAAGATGAATTTCCAACTCTTCCCACACAAGTTTCAAAATCCACGGACAAATCAGAAGGAGAAACCAAACGACCCGAAGAGAAGTCTACACGACAGCAACCACCAATGTCTGAGGCCAAGATTCAGACAGTTGTCAATGTCATCCGCAATCTTCTTTGCTCTTGGGATTCGCCTATAGCCAAAGCGCTTATTACGTTGATTGATGCTGTCCTTCCATTCGTGATGCTCTGGTGTCACTAGATAAATTACGAAGTGAGGCCACTGTCCTTCAATGGAACGCAAGAGGTTTTCGAAATAGGCTGTCAAATTTTCGGCAATTCCTCTTCAAACACAAATTTCCTGTAGTAGCGATTTCGGAATCAAGAGTAGGACCTAACATCAGATTATCTGGTTATGAGCTTCTTCACTCCCACAGAGAAACCGGTCTTAGCAGAGTATTACTCGGCATTCGAAAAGATCTCACATTTATTGAGCACAATATTTCGTCCCATAGGACAAATGAATATATTGCTGTGACTATAAAAAAAGGCGATATCTCATTCAGTGTTATAACTGGTTATATACCTCCTCGAGCAGAATTTGACACTAAGAGACTTGAAGCTATTCTCCAACAAACCCCGCCACCACGTCTTCTGACAGGAGATTTTAATGCTCACCACACACTGTGGGGAAGTGCGAGGAATAATGCTCGAGGAAGGGCATTACTTGGAATTACGCTAAACCATGATCTCGTAATACTAAATGATGGAAGTCCTACATTCTTTAAAGGTGCATCAGTGAACAGCCCTTTAGATATTTCGTTTGCATCTTCAGGTCTTGCTGAAGAAACTACATGGTTCGCTGACATTGAAACTCACGGAAGTGACCATGCACCGACATACACCACAGTGAGAGGTCTGCGTTGTTCCAAACAACGCTTCTCGGTACCTTCTACCGACTGGAAAATATTTCAAGAAAAAAATGGAAGCTGTCAGTTTTATGCTCACTGGAACAGAATCCTTTGTGAATGCCATAACATCTTCCACTTCAGAAGCAACAAAATATTTCAACGTGACAAACCCGCAGACAACGGTTGATGGAGAATATGAGCGTCTTCGTGCCATCCGTCGAAGGGCTGAACGAAAAGCAAGAAAAACACAATACGTTGAAGATATTCAGGCTTCCAGACGAGCACAAAAACGTGTACAGCGGCACTTAGACAAACTTTCAAGAAGACGCTGGAGGTCACTGAGTTCCGGCCTTGATCCCAGGAAGCCAACTACCCGAATATGGCACATCACGCGAAGCCTCAGCGTAAGGCCAAAGCAAATTCACCCCTTCAGAGCCATTTCTTTGAGACGGCAAATACCCGAAACAGTCGTGGCAGAAGAGTTCTGCATAAAGATTACAAGCTGCCCCTCCGGTAACAATCACAGCAAGGGTGCCCCAGATGGTCACGTCCCTGTAAGTGCATGTAATTCTATGGACGACCGTTTCAACTTGAAGGAACTAGACATAGCACTTGCTACATCCAACACTAAGTCCTGTCCAGGTCCAGATGGCATACGCTACTCAGCCTTACGTCACTTGGGGGAAACTGCTAGAATGGCCCTACTCACTTTATTCAATACCTCATGGGAGACTGGCATTATACCCCAAGATTGGAAAATCGCTCGCGTAATACCAATTCTCAAACCAGGGAAACCACCACTCGATATCAATTCATATCGCCCGATCGCATTAACTAGCTGCATAAGCAAAATAATGGAACGCATGCTGCTTGCACGCATGGAGTGGGATCTTGAAAATAGATGCATTTATCCTTCATCCATGAATGGTTTCCGACGTGGCAGATGCAGTATTGACAACGTTATAGATCTAGTGTCTAGTATAGAGCAAATGAAATCAGTCAAGCAGGTCACCACCGCAGTATTCGTTGACATAAAAGCAGCCTTCGATTCGGTAGAACACGAGGCCATACTTTCCGACATGAAGGCGATTGGTTTCGGAGGGCGCTTATTTACATGGATTTCCAGCTACCTTAAAGAACGAAAAGTCTATATATCAACACAAGATGGCAACACTGACTTCCATGAGGTCAAACAGGGGGTTCCCCAAGGTGGGGTACTCAGTCCAATGCTGTTCAGCATATGCCTTATAGGCCTTCTGAAGGTACTCCCTGTTTCTGTGCATGTATCTTTATACGCTGACGACATATGTTTCTGGTCATCGAGCAAGTCTTTATATATAAACAGAGCCAGGCTACAAAAAGCCCTCAACATTGCCGCACGGTACCTTAGCAGCCGAGGCTTGTACATATCACCAGAGAAGTCTGCGGCGTTGGCGTTTACAATGAAACAAACATACAGATACCCCATTAACTTAGAAGGAATCACAATCCCATATGTCTCCGAACATGCATTTTTGGGCGTGAGTCTCGATAGGCAAATGACGTGGGGACCCCATATTAAACGGTTAAAGAAAAAGCTCACCTCGTTTACACATATAATCAAAATGATCAGTGGAACCAGATGGGGATGCTCTGTATCGTCGCTGATGGCTCTGTATAACGCTCTATTTGTCGGTCTTATGCGCTACAGTTTGCCAGTCATGCAACGTGTCTCGCGGTCTTGTTTTAAAGAACTTGAAAGCGCGCAAGCTCAAGCACTTCGTGCCTGCTTTGGATTGCCAAAATGTACCTCCACCTCTGGAACTCTGGCGGAATCTCGTGCGAAATCTCCCGCAATATTAAGGACGCAAGAAACACTGCGAGCTCATCTACGACACAAAACCAGAGTGTATAAACACCACCTGGTAGACATTGTCAAATATAGACCATCATCTGGCTTTGCGCAAGTTATTATGGTACTAGAAGACTATATGCCAAGTTCAATTGAGGCAGCTGCGATTCCACAATATCCACCTTGGAAGTACCCTCACTTGGAAATAAGAACAAGCATACCAGGAATCACTAAAAAAAATTCAGCTCCTTCCCCGGTAATTACACAGATATCTCTCGAATATATTCAAAGAACTTACGAGTCATTTACTCATATCTACACCGATGGTTCTACAATTCCCACATCTTCAGCCCTGGGGGTATACATTCCATCCACAGCCACATACATAAAGGCTAAACTAAGCCACGCCACCTCATCAACAGCGACAGAACTAGCAGCTATTCGTGCAGCTGTTGTACACGCGGGCACTGAAAGCCCACGATGTTGGGCAATACTTGTCGACTCCAGATCTGCGTTGTACGCTCTATCTTCGATAAGAAAAGACAACATTAACTCACAACTAGTCCATGATATTTTACAGGCTATTCAGTATGCATCGAATCAAGGACATCACTTCATCTTGCAGTGGATACCGGGCCACTCCGGGATAATTGGAAACGTGTGCGCCGATAGAGCCGCTAAAGACGCCCACGAGAGCACAATTTCTGTATCTATTCCGTTTTCAAGATCTGATGCCAATCATTTAATCAAATCTATCGGAAATGAAATCTCACTATCTTTATGGGAAAATCCACAATATCACTATTACAGCCTTCATCGTATTGATCCTAAACTCGAATTCCGGATACCACGAGGACTACCAAGGAAACTTGAGACGGTGTTACATCGTTTGCGGCTCAATGTTGCATATACTAAATATTATCTTCATAAAATTGGCAAAGCTGAATCTTCCGATTGTTCATCGTGTAGAACAATTCATAACATCGAACACGTCCTGTGTGCCTGCGGGGATTACAGTATTGAAAGGACCGCACTGAAGACTCGCCTGAAATTAAAGGAAGAGGACCAGGTGGACTTGAAGCTTCTGTTTGGACCCTGGCCTTCCACTGCAGACAGTTACAAGGCCACTGAAGCTCTTTTACGTTTCATTAAGAAGACACATCTTCAACAAACACTTTAAGGAACTGCAGTCCAGTGTGCTGCAAAGTGAGCCGACACTTGCCAACATAACAGTTTTGTGAGTTTGTATGTGTGTGTGTATTGTGTGCGTGCGCATTTTTTTTTCTTTTCATCTCTTTATCTTCTTTCTTCGTATCTTTGCTATCTTTGTCTATACTATTTCTTTTTATTTCCTTTTCTTTTTTTAATTTCATCTTCTTTCACAGCGTAGCAAGCCGGCACAAAGCGCTGGCTGACCTCGCTGTCTTCCTTTCAATAAATGCTAATTTCTCTCTAAATGAGCATGGATTTCGTGGCCAAGTGTCACCTCTGTTAAATTCATATTTGTCTTCCCGCAGACAATATGTAGATATACATTGTCAGTCATCTGAAATAAAACCGACCAAGTCCGGCGTTTCCCAAGGGAGTATTTTAGGGACTTTATTATTCAATATCTATATAAACGGCATAGTAAACGTAAGTTCAACAAAGGTTTCTTTTATCTACGCTGATGATGCTAGTTTATTTTTTACTGGAGAAAACGCCACAGAGCTGATACGTGACGCCAACGAAATATTACAAAAACTTGATAGTTGGAGTAAATGTAATGGTCTAAAAATGAAGGCCAGTAAGACAAAAGCAGTCTTATTTCAACCAAGAAATAAATATGTCTACATTACTGAAGACATTTCTCTATATTCTTCGAAACTTGAAATTGCACCCACATTTAAAACTTTAGGTTCTTTTGTGTTTCTTTTTCAGGAAAACATGTAATGGGACGATGATAATAATATAATAGTATCTAAATTATCAAGCGTCGTTGGTATTTTATATTGTCATAAACGCATCTTGCCTCTTAAAACAAAGTTATTATTATATAATTCATTATTTCACTCGCATATAAATTATGGCCATCTTATATGGGGAACCACTACATATACCAATCTTCAAAATATATTTATATCACAAAAAATATTAAGAAACATTTCTCATGTTACGCTGGATTATCCAATGAACATTGTTTTCAATCAACTTAAAGCAATGAAAATTTTTGATTTATACAAATATCGTTTATGTTCGAAATATATGGTAGAAAAAATCAATCTCAACATTATCTCGAAGACTTAGCAAACCTAACAAAAAAGGTGTATGCATCTCCAACGCGAACTGTAGAACCATGGAAATACCGTTTTTTAGAACTAATTACGGACAATACACTACATCATACACCCTTCCGACTACACTGAAGAAGTTCAGTAGGGAAAATATAGAACTTAACAAGGTGTCGGTGAGAAACGTGCGGGAATTAATCATAATCGTCTCAAACCAAATCTAATAGAAGCTAAGTGTTGATATACTCATCTTAAACCAAAACGAATAGAAGTGTTAATTTGGGGGGCTACGTTGAAGTTGTTTTCTGCCTCGTTTTGTCTACTAATGCTAGTCTGTTCAAACTGAAGTTGCATTATACGATGACACTAATCAATTTTTCTCTCGTGTAAGGATCTCTTCAAGTTTTCATTTATGTCCTAATCATATGTAAATAATTTGGTGCCCGCGTCTCAACTGCTATTTAGGTGGCTCGGGACTAGTCAAGCTGTGTTACAGCTTCTATCCCTTTTCACCTTTTAACTGTAAACTGTTGGCAAAATAAAGACATTTATTATTATTATTATTATTAAGAGGATACTGCTTACAGCAGAACACAATAGTGTTTGAATTCACCACATAGTTCCCAATAACCAAACGTCCACCACATTTGTACCCACTTCCCCCTTTTCCCCCTGTACCCTGAACAGAGGTATAAGAACAGAGGATGGATACATGCCCCAAATGGTGTCTCATTCCCCCCCCCCCCCCCCCCCCCCTCTTCCAGCCAGTGTGGGTTAACGTGATGACACACACAGGCGACTCGTGGAGGGCTACTGGAAGCGTACTCGAATGATTCTCTCTTCGCGACCTCCTCAGGTGACGAGCGAGTGAATGAGCAGCTGGCCCTGACGGTGATGCACACGCTGTGGATGCGTGAGCACAACAAGATCGCCGGTCACTTCCAAGAGATGAACCCGCACTGGGACGACGAGACACTGTACCAGGAGGCGCGGCACCTGCTCGTGGCCGAGGTCCAGCACATCGTCATCAACGAGTGGCTACCCATGATCATCGGTCCGGACACCGTCAAGAAATACGGCCTGGTACCCTCCCAGGTCAGGCCGCGCTACAGCTACGCGTCGACGTCACAAAGAAAAGAAATAACAAACAAATTTCTGTCCGGCCAACTTCAAAACCAAGCACTGATGTCCTGACAGACCATCCAAACTGTGCAATATGGTACAGCCAACCAATGGCGTCCTAATAAATGTACTAACAGAACATTAGTAATGCCATGACGCAACCCGACTGTGGTCCACCCTAAAACGTCTTGCCTGCCATCTGAGCCGGGTCCAAAGATACGAAGCAGATTCTTTAAAAAAATCTAATTGGCCGTCAGTGTCCCATTTGATTCCAATCAGTAATCTGACGATAGGCAAACTCAGGCACTCAGTCCTTCTGCTATAATGGCGTCTATTGACTCCATCCAGGGCTACTACGACGGCTACAGCAGCAAAGTCAACGCGGGCATCCGACAAGCCTTCCAATCGGCTGTCTTTCGATTCGGCCACAGCTTGCTGCCAGATGTCACCGAGAGGTACAACAAGTTCCATGAGAAACTTGGTAAGTCTCTGCAACAAAAGTCTCCCTAATACTATCTTCCAATTTGCAATTATGACCAGAGAGCTTAATAAGAAACGGTTCTTAAAAAGGCGTTTTCTTTTTATTCTGGTTCGAAAACTTCTTGGAATAAATACAGCACAAAAGGCGAACAGAGAGGTTAACGCTTATCCAGTTTTTTTCCTTCCACTAGCCCGTGACCTTTTCTGCAGCGTTTATTTCAATAGCTGTGATCAATTGGCTCACCAGTTTATTTTGACTGTAAAATATCCATGCTACCAATGTCAGCAAAACAAAAGAAAGACACCTATACTCGCGGACAACTTTCTCTGGCTACGCAGTTAAAGGGTACGGGAGTCGCGTGCACGAACGCCGATTAAAGCTGTGCAGGCGCGCTCCCCTTCTCGTCGAAAATACCACAGAGGGTTGTCCACAGATCCAGGCTCGGGTGATGCCCACAGCTTTCCGAACTGTGTGCTGACTGTGCGCGCTTGCCCCTGTTCCAGAGGCGATCCGACTGTCTCGGTTGCTACGTCAGCCGTACGACCTGTACAAGCCCGGAGTGATGGACACCTTTATCATGGGACTGGTCAACCAGCAGTCCAACCGGATGGACCCCGAAATCACCACTGAGGTAGGTGCGGCCAAGGCAACGAGCAAAGCCCAGTAGCATCTGGGAGAAAAAAGGAAAAAAAGAAATTACCGAGAGGCTCTTACGAACGCTGCTGGTGGTGGAGGCTTGGTCGAGCTACTACGTGCATGCTGTTAAAATTGTGTGGATGACGGCATGCCAATAGATGTCTTATCGAACGCAGAACTGACCGTCAGGGGTGTAAGCAAGCCCGAGAAGTCGGAAGCCCCTATCGCAAAGTCCTCCACTCTTACATTTAAGCAAAGGAGACGCTGGAGAGGACGCGAGGGGGGACTCGCCTTTTCTCCAGCCTTCACTCTGTCAAAGCGGAAACAGTGGGAGGCTTTGTGGGAATAGCTTTCCCTGCTCCCTTAACCTGCGACAGACTATAGAGATGTTTTAAATAGGGACCACTCCTTCCCTGTTCCGACGCCATTGTAAGCCGACGCCGTGCACAGCCACTGAGGCAGCAGGGACACCTTGTTAAATCGAGACATTAGCTAATGAGAAGAGAATATTCCGCGGATGTGATTATCGTGCACAACACGCAATGCAACAGACCTCGGTGCGCGAAGCAAAACACCTAGCGCGATTCTCCGCAGGGAAGATGGCCACCAACAAAAGTTTCTGCGATTTCAGGTGGATGAGCATTGCACCTGCATGCAGCCGTCTATCACTACTGCGTGATGTGGGCTAAAAACCGCAGGCTACAATAGCGATGCACTGGATACGTTTTTCATGTACCGCAGAGACACCAGACGCCCAATGGGGCGGACCAACTTCCCACGTCTGACCAAACACACATCACAATTACTCTTCTAAAGCTTGGCTCAAGGAGACTTGTATTTGAAACACCGCAGGTTACCAACCACTTGTTCGAGAAGCCCGGCGACGGGTTCGGCATGGACCTGGTTTCCCTGAACGTGCAACGTGCCCGGGAGACCGGCGTGCCCGGCTACAACGACTTCCGGGAATACTGCGGCCTGCCCAGGGCACGAGACTTCTGGGACCTCGTCGGCTACCTGCCCAACAAGACCATCCACCGGTACACCCAGGTCTACAAGTGAGTACTGCCCCTATACCCGTCTGCGTCGACTACCGCATTATTCCCTACAAGAGCACACCGCTTCCATGCGTCCAGGTGGGGAAGTGACTGCTTGCGTCGACGGCTATCAAAGAGAACGGCCGCCATTATTCTATGTTGCAGGTTTAGAACTGCGGGCGGCGGAGAAAAGCTCACCGGAGAAAAGCTCACCGGAGAAAAGCTCACCGGAGATAAGCTCACCGGAGAAAAGCTCACCGCAAAACCGACAGATGCGGAGAAAAGCTCACCGGCCTTTGAGCGGATGCGGAGAAAAGCTCACCGATTATTTAACTTAGCGGATTCTACGTCAAACGTGGCAATTTAACACAATTCGCATTCGTCACTTCATTAAAAATATGTCATCTTTTTTGTAATGTTCTTGAAGTTCATTGGGCATATTTCTAATTGCTCAGAAATTAGTAATCACCCATTTTGTATATTAATGAAGCCGCAAGTATAAAATCAGAACATCGTACACCGGTAAAAAAGACGACAATTAATTGACAAATGACAGTGCGCCGTCGGTTCTGTTAAATAAAGAGGTTTGTTCTTGACGAGATAGTATGAATAGTGGTGTGTGAACCATTTTAGCTCCATATATTGTGTAGTGCCTAATAGATAAGTAGGTCTTCGTTGATGTAATCAGTGTCGGCTACGCTGTTTTCTTTCTGTTAATTTCACTAACAAAACTTTAGTTGCGGGAACAGCTTCGTCCTGCCGTGTTTTGTGGTCTTCACTCCGTCATCGTCGTTTGAGCGGTTTTCATCATGTATAAAGTTTACCAACTCGCCCTATTCGCTACCTTACAGAAGACTACTTTTTATATAGGTCACGAGTAACAACGGTGCCAGTGTGCAGCTCTGAACGTCATGAATGGCTCACCGTAGAAGGTCACTATCACGCAAAAGGCAACGTGTCGAAACACAAGCTCGAACGGCTAGAAAACATGCATGTCCGTGGAAGAAAGAAGCCTCAATATCCTACTGACTGTTTTATCCTGTTTTCAAAGGTTAACTAAAGCTTCGAAAAGAATTTCAGGCACCGCGTTGTTGCGTATGCGCTTTCGGATTTTCGGCATTTACAGTTTTGATTTTTAGGTTTTAGGCAGACATTATTAAGTTTTCGAACTTTTTCCGCTTCGTCAAGTTCATGAACTTTTCAGTTAGGCTTTCGTAAGCCACAGAAAACACTCGCTCACAATTATTTATCTGGGAGCAATATACCCAATAAGCTTACAAATAATACAAAAAAATGACATTTTCTTTTTTACTAAGCTGTCGAATTTTAATTAAAATAAATTGATATATGTTACGCATGGATCCAACAGCCTCCATATAAAAAGAAGAAAATAAAAAAAAATCGGTGAGCTTTTCTCCGCATACGCTCAATGGCCGGTGAGCTTTTCTCCGGTGAGCTTATCTCCAGTGAGCTTTTCTCCGGTGAGCTTTTCTCCGGTGAGCTTTTCTCCGGGATTCTAGAACTGCAGGACAATTGTCCCTCACCCAAGGCTCTCTGCTCGCCATGATTAGGAATTTCCGCCTCTCTACTTGCCTCCTTTCAAGCATTTGCTCTGCTAAGGTGGAAAGAGTGTGGTGCTTTGAGTGGGAAGCCAGTCCTGCTGTTCAAAGTTTGAAACAGAGCACAGATGCAAGCATGCAACCGATAAACGAATTGCATTCTCTTACTGAAACAGAAGCTGTAAAAGGTACCTTTTCAAAAGAATTATTGATAAAGACCCCGAGATCAAATGTAAGTAAGCTACAAATACAGTTACGTTCCTGCGGATGCATTAGTAGTCACATTTACTTGGGAGAAGTTGCTGTATGTTATGCTTTAAAATATTCCAAAACGTTCAGGTGGGTGGCGATTGCTCGCCAACAGTTGCTTCGAGTAAAAAAAGACTGTTTCAACAGTTCCATCTTCATTCAGCACTCTACTTCGTTTCAGAGATAAACCAGGTCCAGCATTCGTGTTTGCTTCATCCCCATGTCCATTTCGCGCCCTTTTCGTAACCCCATTACGGTTTCTTTGTCCGTAAAGGCACGTGGACGACATCGACCTGTGGAGTGCTGGCGTGTCCGAGTACGGCCTCCCGGGCGCCGTGACGGGTCCCACGTTCGCCTGCCTGATCGGCGAGCAGTTCGCCAACATCAGGCGCGGAGACCGCTTCTGGTACGAGAACCCGGGATGGCCTTCGTCCTTCACGTTAGGTGAGTACACCCCACACTTTGACCACTGCCTGCACCGGTGGCCTCAAGAGGGTTCTGCTTCTGTTTATCTTCCGAAAAGCAATACCGTCAAATGCCCGAACGAACGCCCCCCCCCCCCCCCCCTATAGATTGCCCACCTCATATTAAAGCATGGGATGCTTTTGAATTGAAACCCCTAGCCCCCAAAATTTGTCCGTCCGTTCTTCTGTGAATTTCCCCGCTAAGTTTAGTGGAGAAATTAACGTCAAATGACCTAACCATAAATACAGTTTCCCCGCTAAATTTAGCGGGAAAATGAATTTTAAAAAAAACGAAGGTTAATTTTTGCTTTTAACGACTGTTCAATGTCTCCTATACAAACTAAAACGATATATCGTAAAATACTGCTTTACGCACATTAAAAGAAATTTGAATATAAAAGTCGCTGCCCCATTTGTTATCTCTTTTCTTTCTTCCCGGTGGGTGGATGGGCTTTCGTTCAGGATCCCACGGCATATCAATCCCAACTTACCTTGAAAAAAAGTTTAAACACTAAAGTATAATCGAGGCTTGTGAGAACAAAACAATCTCACAGAAGCCTCACAGTGACAGACGATGTTATCACTAAGAAAGTCACTTAGCGAAAAGTCGAGACGCCCGAACCACGCAAGCGCCAGCCATTTTACTCTCAAAAAAATGTTTCTTTTCCGTTTTTTTTTTTGTTTTTTTTTTTTTCTAAACACACTTTTGCCCTATGGTGTCCGGGACGGGTCTCCGACAGGTGTGTTTAGCATCCTATCCCACACGTACATCAAAAATGGTCCCAAAGTAGCGATAAATGACGTCATAGAAGCCGGAGTGCCCTGCTGCTGGATGTCGCGACCCTGGCAGTTGGTCGTAGAAACGCCGCCGAAAAACACGAGTGAACGCGAGTGTCGCTGTCGTCGTGGTGTCCCAACTTCGGACTGCCCAAGCTTCCGTGGACTGCCACACTGGGGAGCGACCTGCAGCAGAACAGAGGTCTGCCACATTCCCGCCGCTGCTGGGACACCACCAGGATCGCGACCGGCGACAGCATGACACTTGTATGACGTCACCAGACGGAAATCGAGGGACCACTTTTTTGGACGCGGTAAACACACCAGTCAGAGACGCGTTCCATGCAGCATCACTGCACTGCGGCAAAGCAATGAGGACCCATCGAACGTTCCATTAGACAACGAAATTCAAAGACAATATAGTAGTTTTGGCGATGCAAGAATTTCATGGTATACAAGTCTTCTCTCTTTAATGCGAGGGATGCGACTTTCCTTGGGGCAAAAACGGTTGTTAACAAAATGTTTCGTTCTGACGACGGGAAGCGAATAGCGCGCACGACGCAAGCAGCATGCTTGCCCAATTGATTGTCGTCGTACGGCACACAGTGTATAGGTGAAGCACGCTTCACTTCGTAGAAATAGTGCGGCCTACAAGACTCGCGTTTCGCGCTCAGCCTACTCCCTGAGTGCTGCTTCTCCGCACTACGTCAAAAACCGGCAACAAACGATCTTAACGGAGATGACTAAGGTCAAATTGGGGGTTTTATATGTCAAACCAACGAAGGGCATATATGGCACGCCCCAGCGGAGGACTGGGCATTAATTTCGGCCACCGGGGGGATCTTGCGAGGTACACCCGAAATCTCGATTACACGGCGCCCTGGTCGCAATGAGCCTCCGTCAGATTGCGGGAACCAACTGAAATAAATATCAAAGAATAGCAATGTAATTGCGAAACTCCCGAGTTGGGGCGCTTTTAAACGCGTTTATATTGGTTGCTTCTAACGCTCAAAAGGCGCGAATCACTTGAGAATGAAGAAGTGATTGCATCTCGACGAGTTTATTTATGATAGTGATCAAGGGTTCCCTTTGATACTCGGACATAATATTGATTACCGTTTGTGATGAGAATAGATAAGGCATAAGAGGAACAGTCTTCTTATATAAGGCCCTAGTCAAAGTAGGATTCATCTACAATGGGTATTAAAAAGTGGTCGAAAAGTGCATCATAGTGCAACACTTCATTGGAATACATTCGCTCTTCCCCCCTCCATTTTACACTCGGTAGTTTGTTTAGCTTGTAAATATAATTTCTGTAAAATGCCAGCAAGAACCAGCATGTCCGCTAACATAACCACCAATAACAATGCATCTCATAAGTTTAATGGACCGACCAAACCCAAAATTCTTATATCATAAACTCCAAAAACAACCACCCAAAAATATTATAAAAGCCTACTCGCGCTTTAAAGGTGATACTGACTGCTCTTTAGCGGCGCACGAACCAGAGTACGTCAAAGTGAGCTGCTCTTTCGATCTACAGCTGCACAGGAACTACCGTGATTACTGTATTTATTGAAATATATATAAACCCTTGTTTTCGTCTGTATCTGCTGTTTTCGGTTTCCTTTTTTTTTTTAAATTAGAAATCAATTTACAATTAGGACACAGAAGTTCGATCGGTAATAATACTGAGCGTAATTCGCGTGCCTATCGCGCTAAGCGAGGCGCTCCTCCAGGTCAGTCGCTGCTCCTAGCACTCCGGTGCAAAGCAGTGAAGCTCGACGCGCGCACGCTGGTAAGAGGCGAAGGTTGACACGAGCAACGCAAGTGCCACGGCTAGCGCACATGAAGGCACCCTAGCCACGGCACTCTGCAGCCGCGAAACGAGAGCACGTGGCAGACACGATAATCGAGCGATCTTGTCAGGAGTACAAGACCCTGCTTCTGTCTTATCACGGTAGCCGCGATCAGCAATCCTGCTATTTTGCAAAGTTATTTCGGGACCCTTAGTTCCTGACATCGACGACATCGTCTGGAAATTCAGACGGATGTCAGCGATCGAACAGCCAGCGCATCAACCAGCCAGAGCGGCCGATTCGCAGCATCAGAGCATGACATCGTGGCATTCGTCATGTCCTTGTACATGTTCTTTTATCGGCTAATCCTTGTACATGTTCTTTCATCGGCTAATCCTTGTACATGTTCTTTCATCGGCTAAACCAATCAAGTGCAGCGAATGTCCCGTGACTTGCGCTTTTCGTGTGTGTGTTGTTTGAGCCTTTGAGCTGTGGTCTGACCTAAGACGAAACAGACTTTACGGCGAGTAGAAACACTGTGGAATTCGTATTTGTAGAATTTTTCTTTCCTTCTACTTCTATAAATATTAAAATCGACCAATCATAAAACTTTTTTTCGTTAAGCTCATTTTGGCGCAAGTGTGGTACAATTCTGAGCCAAAAATGGCATTTTGGCGCAAGATGTAGCAGACTTTTGTTAATGGTGCAATTTGGCGCAAATGGTGCAGCACTTCCATCACTTCTCTAACATCTCATATATGTTAGAGGAAGAGGAAGACGATGACCCATCCAGGCTGGTCACTTCGGCATATGTTTAAAAGCCTTGGTTCCGGGTCTTCGAGAGTGTCTCTGTCCAGCAATGGTGTTGCAAACCGTCTCTGTAAGTGTGCTGTAGCTGGAGCACGGCCTCGCCAGGGTTAGTAACGTAACACCACCACAGGGAATCGAAGCAAAAGCAGATGGACATCTAAACATTCATCAGTCAGCTTTGATGAAACGCGGCCAGCCATCTCTGTAACTGGACACAGCAGCGAAATGATGTGATTGGTTAGCTTTTATCCATATATTCTAGTCACAATACGGAATCCTCCTTACTACCCTGCAGCCTTCTCATAAATGTGGCAATTAATAAACGAAGGTTCACATCACTGAGTTGCAAAAGACAAAGGTATTCTAATGAAAGCACAAATCGTCTCCTGACGCTTTTTTCCTTCACAGTACTACTGAAGGGTTAAAGACAAGCCTACAGTGCAATCCACTTATAACAATACCACTCAAAACTATGTACCGCCTATAACAATCAATTTCTGTAGTTTCTAGACCAGGAACGATCAGTTTTTAGTCCACATACACAAATAATTGGTTGTAACAATGGAAATTTCGTGTTTTTTCTCATTATTGTTATCAGTGGATTGCACTGTATTTCTAAAAAAAGAACACATGATACTTGGAGGTAGGTCAGCAAGTCAAATAACTGTTACAAGTAACGAGCTTGCGCTTGTTACTTGTAGCAGTGCTTTGGCTGCGCAAAAACCAAAGTTTTATGGACTGCAGAAAGCTCACGCTCGAGGCGGTGCTTCTAATACCAATTTTATGTTGCGACAGACTATAGTGAATACTGTTTATTGGACCCAGTAGAGTCATGGGGTTGCAGGAAGGCAGGTGGGCCACACCACGTCCTGCAGCACCAAACGTAATGATGTGATGACGCATCCTACACAGCTCAAACCGACAAAATTCACGACTTTGTCAAATGAGTGCCGGTAAGTTCACGAGCAGGAGCTCTCAAATGCTCAAGTTATCTTGCTCACTGCCAGTCCTCTCTACTAAGCCTTAGAATGGCTCTAAATGGCAAAGCAGCTGCCCTTCCTTGACTTTTCAATGGTCAAAGTGGGCACCTGAAGGTCTACGACTAAAGTTGCCATGTGATTGCGCACTTGCTCACGTTAACTGTGTTCCACATGCCCTCTTTGCAGAACAACTACACGAGATCCGCAAGGTGCGGCTATGCAGGCTGCTGTGTGACAACGCTGACGACATGTACGACGTACAGTTCTCGGCGCTCGTCAACCACGATCCGGGAGCGTAAGTAACCTTTACGACGTCCATTAGCATTCCCGGTAACAAGCAAAATGTAGGGGCACAAACGAGTTTGTAAAGACAAAACATCATTGACAATACCCCAAAAACACAGAGACGCTGTGTTTTTGTCAAGCAAGTGTCAAACCTTTATGGTCGCTTCATATGCTGCAATGTTGAGGGAAGGCATGTGCGTAATGTCATGCCAAGTTGTAATGAAGGAATTATCACATGAAGTTTTGGATAACGCTTTTCTTTACAATATTCCCATTCTACAAACCTGGAGGATGTTTTATAAAGTTATGTGACCCACTCAGGCTGGCTCAAAATAGGTACTACAATGCACCAGTTAGGTTTCAACCAAGCCGAACAGCCATCCCTGATTGGCCACCTAATGAACAGCCAATCAGAGATGGATGACCCATCCGAGAGAATTACATCACCACAGGCATGGTGACTGTGCAAGTATAGAATGCCAAGTTCTTTTGAAGCCAGCATCAGGTGTTGAAATTCCAATTACATAGTCATAATCTTGTCTATGCTCTTTGTTTAGCTAGATTGTTTCAAACTGTGCACTCTTTTTTTCCCTTCTGCAGCAACCCAAGAATCAACTGCGCCTCTCCCGAAATGCCCAAAATGGACTTGTCGAAGTGGAAAGACACGACATACCTAAAGAAATAAGCCAACAATTTTAAGCCTTCGACGACAACAAAATTGACAAGAAAAAGAAAGTGTGATGCATCCTTGGTTGCGCAGGCACCCCCAAACGTTCACAGCAAGCGACTCAAAGATGATGTATTCCCGTCCCAGGGAGGGGAACATAGATATGTTTATATTAGGAAGCAAGGCTCGGACGGGCTGCGACACAGACACCATGTCCATAATGTCACAGCGGTCCGAGGTTACCAAATGTTTGCTGCTTTGCTGTTTAGGTTTAATGGGTCAGCCAGGACCACGTGGCAAACGAGGATACGTCAGTACTTTCTAATCTCCGGCTTTCGATTTCAAAGACATTTGGTGTGAGATCAGAATTGTCTCAAACACATCGTGCCTGGGGTAGTAGCTTAAAAGAAGGAACACTTTCTTGCACGCTACGCATGTGTGCAAGATCGGAGTTGCCATGTGCGTATTGTAGCTTGTGTAATGGGTGAGGAGTCTTAGTTTTTCAAAGACTTGGAGCGTCAAGTTAGCAAGCAATGTCCGCGCCGCGGATCCGACGGGAAACAAACAGGCACCACGGAAGTAGAGTAGGAATTATATATATAAAAAAACAAATGCCTTAGGTACGAATTTTAGTTCATAACTCGAGTGTTCTCTGTGCCATAAATGGAACGACTTAAAACTTTCGTCGCGGCAACAATAACGTCTCTTCGATTCAAACCCAACATCCACAGAGTGAGTATGACGACAAGATTACGACAGTTCTGAGCAGAGCAAGCCAATGTGCGAGTCTTCGGCACATTTAACGCGTGTGCACGGGTAATGGGTAGAAAACATTGCAACGTTAGTCTCTCTTCTCCCTGATGACAAACATTCCGAGGAGCTCCAAAAACATTTTCCGACGACGACGTCATTTTCGAGAGGTTATCAATTCCTGCCAACAGGAAGACAAAAAACACAAAAACATTCCTAACACCTATCACCGATTCGACCCTTTTGCGACTGGCCGTAACTTTTCACTTCAAAGTAACCACGAGTGCCGTTAGGAATCTCCGAAAACCCCTCTTTTGTACATACGGTTCATGCCCTTGGTTCGAGTGGACCTCTAGCCACGGTCAGGATAGCGACATTCCTGACGTCTCCCGGTGGGGTTTCCGCTCAAACAAGTATGCGTCTCTCCCTGCACCCCTTTTCAAAACGACAAAGTTCAATTCCTTCCCTCTCCGCGGGATAGCAGTGTAAAGAGTATGAAATTGTTCCCACGGAAGCCAGAAAAAATTTCAGAACCAACTTAGCTAAGAGACAACGTTTGCACAGAGCGCGAGCATAATATGTTTTTTTTTTCGTCGTTTGTTTTTCCTTTGGCACAGCCGCCATTGTACATACTTCCAGTCTCCCTTATATTTATATGCGACACTTCAAAGGGTTCGACAGGCTTCACTGTGCCTCACCCCCTCCACCATCCCCTCTGACCCAAGCCGTTGAAAAAAAAAAATCTAAACGGTTGTGTTGTTATGCGCTACCGGCAGTGTCGTCGCCTTGGTCACTGTACCATCGTCAGGGAATTCGTAGTGCCCGACGTTGCGAAAGGCGACGCCAGGTGTGCGGGCGTCAAGAGGTTGCCGTGTGCCGCGAATATCGAGAATAATTTGTTCTCGTTTTTCTTATAATTGTTTTGCGGCAAAGCAAGCTGATGTGAGTGAGAGCGAGAGAAAAAAAAAAAAGAGTACCTTGAACCAGAATCTTTTTTTTTCCCTTTCCTGTTTTTTTTTCTTCCGTATGAAAAAGTGTGCAACACATTTTTGTTAACTAACTGCTGAATAAAAAAAAAATGTTGTTTTTCTATTATCTGGATGCGTCTGTTGTAACTGCTTCGCTCGTGCCTGGCGGTCGTCGGGTGCTGATTAGGTACGTCAACAAAGGTATGGCATGGGACCCAATATAAAAATGGTTGTTCCTTCCTCTGGGCGTCCTTTGTGTCGGGTTCGGCATCCGCCGAACGCATGGGCTTTTCGTGGTGATTGCATGTACACACAACCTCTTTAAGAGCAACTCTCATAAGCCCCTCTACTACATTAACAAATTGGGCATGTACAATTAGTTTTCCACCGGGAATCAAACGGAGGAACCTCCGATAAAGAGGGTTCAGAGATTCCAATTCAGAGGGTTAGTACAGGTTCTGAAACATGTCTTAAAACCAAATTTGCCTTAACCTTTCACCACCAAAAGTGGTTTGGTTTACCTCTCCTTCCATCAACACCAAGCCTACAAAACATTAAAAAAAATTACGTGCCATCAGGTCACATGACATCTATTTCCCCACTAAATTTAGTGAGAAAACTGAATTGAGGTGTAGGTCACGTGGCATTAATTTTCCCTCTAAATTTAGAAAAGAAACTAAATTGCCGTATAGAGTGATGTGATTGGCCTTAGCCGTTTTGGAGCACCTTTCGGAGGAGCCAAAACAGTGTTTACGAGCAGCAAAAGTGGCTTTCGGAGCAGCCAAAACAGTGTTTCGGAGCAGCAAAAGTGGCTTTCAAAGCAGATATTCTTAGAAAAATAAATATCTTCATTTCAAGTGCTCGACAAACGAAGGGCACTTTGCTTGCCGCAATAAACAAATTATGACCAAGTTAGACCACCTGGCAGTCTTTCAACATATAACTGAAATGCCAATGACATGACACATTTTGCAATGGTTCAGTTGAATGACACATATATATGTGCCCGCTGTATATAAATAACAACCAAACTGCACATAAAAAAATTTATTCTAAAATTACCAGCTTAGTAGTAAATATCACAGTTTTAGGTAGACTAGTTAAAATATATAATAAATAGAAGCAGCCTCCGACTGATGGAACACGTAACTACTGCAGTGCAATGCGAAATTGTACACAAGACAAAGGTGCATTACGACTAGCAGGTGCTTTTCCTTTTTTCTTTTCAAAACTTTATGCAAGGCTGCTGCAAACCTAGCTTTGCCTTTGGCTAGTAATGAATGTCCACTTTCAATGTTTCCAGAGACATTGAGACATCCAACAAGTGTACAGTGCTGTAGGCATTGCCGAGCAATTACTAAAAACCACTTGCCACCGTTTTACTGGTTCCCGACGTCCCAGATTTTCGTCAAAAGTAAGCAAACGTAAAACAATGGATTGCAAGCGTCCCGGCTCATGCCTCTGTCATGCAATCATGTTAGCATGCACATGAGGGCTACCTCGGCAGGCTTGCAGTTGCACGTGCTTCGTCGCGCGAGCGGAGATGGCTGTTCGATCGAAACCAAAACTATGCCACTCCACTCCGTCGTCAACTGGTTCATAAAATTGTATGAAACATGTAACTGTCCAGCATATGACAAAAAACAGTCCAGCGGCATGTGCTTGCCAGGTTGGCAGGCGAGGTACAAGCTAAACACACAGAAAAAAAAAACCTGAAAGTGTTGATGCAAGACATCGCAAATCAAGCTCAAAAAGTTCTTGGAGCAATTTGTGCAACCACTGAACTCGAGACAAACAAACGTGCTGTGCAGGTTCAGTGAGCAGCCCATTGCCTCCTTTGCCTTAGCTCACTTCTGTTCAGCAACTTTCTTTCGCGGTGGATTTTTCACAAACTGGGGTCCCTCTCAAAAGAAGGCCTGCCGAGAGAAACCCAAGTAATCAATACTTCAACACAGCGGTCTTTGAGTTAAAGAGTGATTCTTGCAGTATGTATGCTTTAAACAAGAACAGGAATGTTAACGAACATGCAGCGGTCCTTACGTTTCAGTTTAGAAAGCACCATATCTGCAATGACATGGGGGACGGCAACAGCCGACGTCGGGCGACCACGGTGACTGGCATGCAGAGACCAAATTTAGTTTTCTCACGGCCATTGCTTTCAGGAGCCAGTGCTTCAGCTCACAAAGTACCTCCTGCCGTGCAAAAACGTGGTTTCATTTCACAGCATGACCGCGTGGCTGGTACCCGGCACGCTAGCGTCAGAGTATCCGCACATGCCCGCATCTATTGTTGGAATATTTTTTTTTTTTTTTAAAAAGGCGCGAGACGAGGTTTACAAGACGACAAGAGCGCAAAACGAGAGACGGGGCGGGAAAAACTACTGATCAGTAGGAAAAACCATGGAAGACCGGATGGACGATTGATGCAGGGTGCTTTGTGTTGGGTAGTTGCTTGCGCCACCTAGCCCACGCATGCTCAATTACGGTACTCAGTTTAGTTTCGGTTTTGAAAGGCGACCAAAATTGGTCCTTTGGCGTAGGCTTGGCGCAGATCACCCATAATTTGGCAAAATATAGCAGGATGTAGCAGGGTTAGCCCCTTGGCAAAGTTTGGCGCAGCAATCACATCTCTGCGTATAGGTCACGTGACATCAATTTCCCCGCTAAATTTAGCGGGGAAACAGAACTCGTGTGTAGGTCTGTGACGTCCCATAATGCGACACTGCGTGCGTTGCATTATGGGACGTCCCAGGCTACGGCTTCACGAAATGCGGAGCAACTAGCCAAAGAATGTTTCAAGTTAAAAACTCCATGTGTTTATGTGCTCATGAAAGACGAGTTCATGTCTTCGACTTCAGAAGGAAACTACTAATGAAGCAGTGTCCTGCTGATGAGACAGACTCATCAATAACTTCCAAAAGGGTTAAAAGGCCTTTCACACGAACTGGCACGCCACCAATATGCAGAGCCTTCATCACAATCACGTTTAAAATTCCTTAACTTTTCTGGTTTCGTCACTTTCTGCAGTCGAGCCCGGTTTTAACGAACCCGCTTATAGCGAAATAGTGGTTATAATGAAGAGATATTTATTTCCCATTCCCATTTATACATTTCCAATGTAATTCGGGTCCAGTTTTAACGAAGTAAATAAAAGAGCCTAGCGGATATAACGAAGACAAATTCCGGGCCGATCAGGTAGAAGTCTATCAAACACAATAGCTCATGAGCTTTCTGGTAAATTTTAAGCAAGAAAACTGGCGCATTTAGGCTGCCGACAGCCTCCACAGCGCCGTCTGCTCTCCCGATCGCGTAGCTCCTCAAAGATTGCTTCACCGCACTTCCTTATGCGCCGCCATGCCCTCGACGCTTCCCCAAAACAAATTAAAGGAAGGGGAAAATAAAGTGATGTCGCTGAACGTCGTTGGACTAGGTAGGCACAGCTTGCAGCTAAGGAGGGTCACGGAGCTTATTGCCATACGAGAATTTGGAACCGTTCAGTGCGGTCACTTCTTCACTTGTTCCCCGGCTTGAGCATAGAGAACACCTTGTTTCCTCGCACTTGGAGGGCAAAGTCTTGCATGAACCCCACAATGAATGTGTCCTTCTCAGACTTGCGGGAGCAGTAGACGATGACCATGGTCACACGTGGGTCCAGCTTGGTCAGGAAGTAGGTTCTTTCCACTCTCTGTAATAACAAGATGTTGTCTCAGTAAAGGCACCACTCCAAAAAAGTCCCACAGTTCTCCAAAGTCTCAAAGAATAACTGTGGAAGGCTTTTAGCCAGTTAGCTTTCTAGCCATTGCAGGCTGTCTCAATAAGAAAAGCTTTTTTTGCTTACCAATCTATTTTAGACAACTTATAATGCACCTGCACGATTTCTAAGGTTGGAATTTGGGGGGATTAAACTCTGTGTGAGTGACACCAGCTAAAACAGAGCCAAGTCCATGGGAGCAAGCACCAAACGGAACTGAAAGCTTCATCAGCCAAAGCAGAAAGAAACCTAAGGTAAGCAAAATGCATCATATTTTCAGCCAAATGAAGGAGCCAGCAGAGCTCAAGGCCACACTCGGAACAGAAACGAGTCCAAAGGAGCAAGCAGTATGGAAGGAAAGGTGAAAGAAATGCAGCATACTTTGGTGTAGGATCACCAGTGCTACGATTAAGTAGTAGTGTGCATGACAAAAGTGCAACTGTGCATTGATGACACCACACATTCACTTCTCTGAAATGTACAAAACTTGAAACACACTTTTCTACCACCATCAGTGCTTAAACCAGTAAAGTAAAACATGCAAATTGAAAATGAATGCTTCTGTCCCTTAACCTTTTTACGGTCAAGTTTTTTTTTTTTTTTTTTCTATAGATGTTTTCCAGTGGTCGAGTTTTGTTTCGAAAGGAACAGCACAGTAGAGCCTTGTTATAACAAAGTTGAAGGAGCGGTCGTAATTATTTCATTATAACCATTAGTTTGTTATAGCCACTGTCCATTTCTTCCCACTATTAGCAAGCAAGGGGAATTATGATTGCTTTGTTATATCCCATTTTGTTACAATGAGGTTTTATTGTATAATAAAAAGTTCAACGCACACTTTTTTTTTTTTCGTATTATCTAGCAGGAGCACATAGTGCTGCAAGCTGTTTGGTTTAGGAGCATCAAATGAAAATACTGAAGCCGAAAAGATGTCCTCTTTCTCCCATACGGTTTCATGAGCGTCTGCTTCAGCGACATTTTGGTGGCTTCAGATTCCTAACCGGAGATTCTTTAGAGCCCCTCCGTTGGATAACGAGCTCTCATCTTCTGAATTTCATTCCAAAAAGTGTTGGAAGTCTGAATTGGAAGACCCAGCCATTGGCACCGCCGCCAGAGTGGCCAGTATGCGAAGTGAGTCTCACGTGTGCGAAGCGTCTAATTTGAAAACTAAAATAGCCCAGCAAAGCAAAACGCCATGCAAGTATAACGTCTATAGTATGCCAAAGACATAAAAAAGATATAATATGTATATTAACAACAATGTCAACATCTGTCAACACTCAAGCTTCATAATGTATGCAGATGATCCTAATATTTTTCATTACTGCGACGAATATTGATGAACTGATAATTAAAGGTAATGCCGTCTTGAAGAAGTTTCTTTTATGGTCAGAAATAAAAGGCCTTGAAATTAATACTGCTAAAACGAAAGCAATTGTATTTACACCAGTAAATAAACATATTGATACTGGTTATATCCTTAAAATTGGTAGCAGCCAGATTGAAATAGTGAGCAATCATGAACCGCTAGGCATCATTTCCTCAGAGTATATGCAATGGAATCACCATATAGAGTTCATAACTACCAAACTGTCAAAGGTAGCTGTCGTTACCGGTCACTGTCGCTCTCTTCTGCCTAGAAAAGTTAAGATTCAAATTCATCATGCTCTGCTTGGCTCAGAGATTAACTACTGTCATTTAATCTGGGGCACGACAAAAACTAATTATCAACAAACTAATGATTCTTCAGATGAAAATGATTCGTTTTATTGCAAAAGCTTCATACAACACACATGCCAAACCACTATTTTTTAGCTATAGTGTCATGAAAATTTCCAGTGACTACCATTTTCAACTTTGGAGTAATTGCTTTTTTGGAGGATCTAGCAAACATATTGACTACACGTGAATCAGTCATCAACCATTGTCACAAAGAATTCTGGACTGTTCCTCATTTCCGTAGAAATTATGCACAGCAGTCTCTTGCTTATTACCTACCTACACTGCTTAAAGGGCAACTCTGCTTCATTTTTGATATTTAGAAAACTATGTAGCCCTCTTCAGTATCATATACGAAGACTCCATGTCAAATATTACGATCTAATTCCGTCTATATATTTAATAAACTGGCCAGCCAACCTTCAAGTCAGCCAAGTCGCCGAAATCTGCCAACTCTAGCGTGCGACGTGAGGCACAATCGTCAGCGCAGTCAATACGACGGAGTTGGAGCGGCCAACGTTGAACCACTACGTCATTCTCACGTTTTGTTTGTTTTTACTTCTCAGAGTGAAGTTGAATGATGACGTCATGAGTTTCTTCTCCCGGTGTTGGCTGAACGGCGTCCACGTGATCACCGTAACGCGGATGCGCTAGTTTGCGCTGCCCTGCGCGCTTATCGGTCTGTTTCTCCGCTTCCCTTCTCTTCTTTCGCCTTCTCCCCTTCCCCCTCTCCCCCGGGCCATCACCGTCCACGCCATGCAAAGCGACCTGCCTGCATTGCGTGTCCTGTCCCTCGCCCCCTCCCCTCCCCCCTCCCCTCCCCTCCCCTCCCCTCCCCTCCCCTCCCCCCCCCCCCCCCCCCCCCCCCCGAACGTCACAAGACCACGTGGTTCGACGTGACGTGGCCATGACTCTGAGGACGCGAGACCAATGTTGCTGGACGCAACCGAAGTTTCGGTTTCAATATTAGCTGATGTTTAAACTAGGATTACACAAATAATGTTCCACATTTTGCGAATCCGAAGACGTAGAGCTGTTTAGCACTGCTTTGTGAAATGGAATCACGTGTAAGCCTACATTTTTCGGAATTGAGCGGAGTTGCCCTTTAACAACATTTGCATGAACTGCATCGATATTCATTGTATAACTAAAAAACAGTGCACACTTTTTTGTTTTGGTTAGGTAAATAGAATTGTTTTTGTGGGGATCTTAAAGGAATGTTTTCAATTGTTTTGATAGGAGTTTGTATGAAATGTGCTGAGTTGTTTTGTGTCATTTTTAGAAATGTTTAGATAGGATTGTTTTTAAATCCTGCATTCATTGTGCGTGCAAGGGCCCTGAACCCAGTCAAGCTAGCTCTTAGTAGCTTTTTGTACAGTGTCCTTGGCATAATGTTGGTGAAAATAAAGTTCAATTCAATTAAATAAAAAATACTAACGCCTCCTGCGGTGTGCGCAGCTTCGTGTTTAGGTGGGTACTCTCAAACGTGTAATCTCCACCGTACATGTACGGCAACGACCATAAGAGGGTTAATGACAAATGTTTCAAAGGAGAAACTTTATTTTAAGCAACCATCCTTTACATGCAGCATTATATTACCCACTCTTTCTTGGTTGCTCAAATGTTCAATTTCTCTTTAAATATTCATCTGTTCTGGTAGCCATTGAGAGAGAGGCTGTCAAAGGGTCTAAAAAAGCAGCTTCGCAAATTGACCAGAAATAAACAAAACAGAATTGCAATATGGATTGGAGTCAAACAGTCTCATTTGCAGCAAATGTGCAATGCTATGCAGGCAGGAAAGCAAACAAATCGATTCTAGTTCATGCTGCCAATCCTAACAGCACACTGCCACCGACCAGCACAGCCAAGCTGTTTCAACTTCCACAGGCCAGCCTGTAAGTGAACAAGCCCACGAGGAAAGTGTGGTGCCACTCACATTGTCGTAGAAGCAGACAATGCCCTCGGAGTTGAGCTCATTGACCTTGTTGTTGATTATCATGATGATGTTGGGCCGGTGTTGCTTCTCTTGGTATGTCTTTGGGAGGAAAAAAAAAGCAAACATTTATTGATTTATGGAATTAAATTGCTTTGTATACTACAACATTTTTACTTTTCTAAAATAGACAAAATATTCACACTACAGTGATATACTGCTCGAACAAACACCAGTGGAATGCACCATGTAGCTCTACAAGCTTTCGAAAACTTACCCAGCAAAACCCCATTGTGCCTAATGCGTTGAGTGGGCTATCGTTTAAGCAAACTTTTCCTTGAGGTCCCTGTTAGTTTGTTCAAGAGGCATTTTACTGTATACAGGGCAAACATGGATGAGGAACATCGCCAAGCTAAACCTTCAAAGCATGTCTATGCGCCGAGAAACTGAGGGCGAGGAGGAGACCAAACAATGTCATGTGCCACCAGCTATGCATTCGTGCGGCTCTGACAGGCACACTGCACAAAACAGCTGGCCATCTTGACCTGGTTATGACCATCTTTTGTAGTCGTGTGTAGACTATAGCAACCTTTTTTTCTTTTTATTGAAAGCGTGTGGGAGGTTTTGTCGGTGGTTGGAGGTGACCTTGGGCAGTGTGCAAGTTTGAACTAGCGGAAAGGTGGGCGTATATGTACCGAGGGCATGGCCTTTTTGTTTCCTGTGAACCCTATGACCATATTTTGTAGTTGAGTGTGAACTGTAGCAAACCTTCTGGCCGCGTGCAGTTGGAGGGCGGTGTGGAGATGACGGGTATAAAAGAAGTGTCCCGAATAAACTTTAGTCGCTCTGTTTGTGACGTCTTGTGTTTGTCCCCTCTTTGTGGCCTCCGTCCTGGGTTTTAGAAATGTTTGGCAGAAACATGACAGTGGCGTGTTTTCAAGCTGTATACCCATACAGGTTGGTGCCAGTCCAAAACGTAGCACATCACCTCAGTGCCTTTTTTTGCCTACAGATTGGCATTACGACCCCAGAAAAACCACCAAACTAGTCTGTTTCAGAGCAGTCTAGCAGGTCTAGAGTGTCATGAATTGTTACAAAAACGTAATACAGTTGAATCTCGTTAATTCAAACTCTCTTAATTAAAACTTGCAGATAATTAGACTAACATGCAGGTCCCATCCTATGTGTCTCTATGGAAGGAAACTCCCAGCAATTCAAGCTTTGCTTTATTCAAACAAATTTTCGGTCCTCCTCGAGTATGAATTAACGAGATTCGACTGTATCACAATAAGGTTTCCAGGGGTGGAACTCATGAAATGTATTTGGGAGCAGCCATGGGAGCAGCTGAAACCGCTGTTTTGGAGCAGGTTGGGAGCAGCTAAAACTACATTCTGGAGCAGGCTAGGAGCAGCTCAGATCAGTTTTCACTGCACTTCAGCTTGTGTCTTAGACGAGCACGGGAGCAATTTCAATTGTGCTTAGCAGCACAGATGAACATGAGTGGTTAGGGACCTAGGTAATGGGATAACAGTGTAACAGATGCCAAAACTTGAAACTTTGTAAGCCTTAATGAGAATCAAAAAGCAAGTACCATATGTTTCTGAAGATGGTGTCCTTGATATTTTCTGAGTGGCTTTCAGCTGCTCGAAATGCAAATCAGCACTGCTTATCGCACAACCCCCACGTGCTCGACATAGTAATTATATGTGCGAACCACGTGACGTGCGTAAGCAACGAACGTGCAGTTGCGTGGGGGAACAGGGCAACAAATTTCGAGTTTATCCTATTGTGCAACTCAATATCGAAGCAGCAGACTACAATTAACGGAGTTATCGTATTCAAAGCGATTAGCGGGAGCAAGGTTAAATACGCCGAGCAGATCTACCGCTCGCGTGACAGCAGCTGGCAGGCAAGGTTCCGGATCGGACCACGTTTCAGTTCTATCAAATCGCAATTATCTTGCGGGAATGCGGTTTCAACTTCTAACGATGAAGTACTAAAAGGAGTATTTTGCTCATTTGTTTTCAATTGGCTGACGTCCGGATCCCGGGCTGCAGAGCCTCAGGCAATCTGACGCTTAACGACTCGACCTCACCTCGGTCGACTTGCTTAACAGCTTATGGTTGAAGAATAACAGTCCAGTCGCAGGTGTAGCGATTCGAATCCGATCCCCGAGTTTTTTCGCGCGCTTCCGACTCGGGATACACAGGGAGAATAAACAGAACAAAGGATTGCAAGGCCGACCAAGCTAAACGGGCTAATTGTTGCCAATCGAGTCGATAGGAACCGAAACCAAGACAAAATACTTTTTTGTTTTTGGCGCACGTTGTGCGATTTGGTGCATAATGGCGCAAGGTATTGGCTGTGGCGCAGTTTCCGTGAAATGGCGCAGGATGGCGCAGACAAATGCGTCTGGCGCAAAATGGCGCAAATGGCGCAGCCGTTCCACCCCTGGGTTTCTTAACAAAAAAACACTTCCATGTTAATCCTATAGGTTAAGAATTTATGTAATCCGTTTCGCTTTATACTAATCATGTAAGCTATAATTATGTGATGTCATGAGACATGATGCCAAGGTGTTGCATGATATCATTTCACATGTTCACGTGATATTGTTTCACCTGACGTCACTCCGCATAGTCACATGACCACATAGGCCGCAATTACACCAACCGTGTGGCCGCACGACTCGCAATGATCAATGATGTAGGAGATCACAAACCGCTGAGACTGCCCCAAAGTGCAGTTTAGGCAGCTTGTTGTACATCAGTCACAAAAATTTGAACTTGCCTCGATACTTGGCATAAAGCAGATGAACGCAGAGTGAATAGTGTGTTTGTATCAGCCTTCCTGCCAAATCACCCCAAATGCAAAATACACAGAAGAGGCAAAAAAAAATCCAAACAGATTGAAACCGGTCAACGGAAATGCACGACGCATTCCGCGACAGTCAGCTCTGTGCGAAGCAGTAAGTTCAAAAATATGCCGGAGTGTTTACTACCTGGACTGCCGTCGTTTCCTGGACCAAAATACCGAAACCAAAACTTCCTATTCCAGTTAGAGAAACCACTATAATTCACATCCAGAGAAAGAAAGATGAATGCGGAAGAAAAATGACAGATACCAAGGAACGACACCAGAATAGTCCATTTGGTTGCAATCCTCTAAGAACCACCTTCAAGTCACTCTACTCGGAATTCTACTGCACTTCTATCCTTGTCCACCACGCCCAAAAACTAAGACGACAAAGTCTTGCGCAACACTACGATGCCTGGAACGTGTCTCCAACCGGTGTGTGTAGCGTGCTATGCTGTTCATGCATCCGAGTGCCCCCAGAGTGGCAACATTTAGAAATATTGCAAGCGTGTTAAGAATATATAATGACTCATTGTTGATGGGATCTACAGCGACTGAGCTTAAGAAGTCACAAGCCCCCAACAGGTTTCTCCCTTGAGCGTAAGCTTTGGCCTCCTCTTTTCCCGATACCATACTTACTCGCATAATGAACACTTTTTTTTCCCCAAAAAATTGACACATATTTGGGGTAAAATCATTACGCGTGGAAAAAGTTTTGCATTTACACACTTCGTGCAAATGTCATATTAGGAGCCAATCTGACATGGCAAGATACTGCAGCTTGTCTCCACTGATGGAGGCACACCCACAGCTGGTCGGGGGCATGCCACAGTAACCATGCTTCAAACGCGATTAAGCGTAGTATAAAAACTCGTACGAAGCCCAACTGCTGTTTGCCCAGGACCACTCACAGGGATCAAGTTTCATTCACAGAGACGGCTGTTACCAGGGGTCTCCGGGTTCTCTCAACCTATGACGCAACGTGCACCTCGCTGCGCCGTTCCGTTACGGATTAAACAAACGCCTGAGTATGTGAAAGGGCACTTTCGGCGTGCCTTCTGCCGAAGGAAAAGCGCCCTACGAAGCTCACTCGGCACGGAGAGCAACGCGACCATCTTTAGGCTTAACTACTTTCACAATTTCACTGTCCGAAAGCAGACCACAGACAACGGCGTGCTTGTTGACATCAATGCATCCGACAGGCAAAGAATGTCCGGGGCTGGGCAATTCCTCGACCCAAGCATCAAGTGTGAGCGCCGCTCGGTTTCACGGTTGATCACTTTTGCAACCACACACTTGAGGCCATTACGAGAGCGGCTTGGTTTAGCTTGACTTGGCCCAACTGCTTGGCAGCAAAAGAAAACTGGCGTGGTGGGCTAGTTGGACGCAATTTGAAACTCGTGAAGCTGAAAATTGGAAGTCCGTTCATTACGCGAGCGGAAAAAAAAATCCGAATATCAGTGCCCGTTTTGGGGGGTGCATTCATTATGCGAGTAAATACGGTATATAAAAAGTAGCAGTATTTCTGAATACATAACGACGTCTCACAGCCGCCAGGGCATCAGGTTGCCGGTAGTCACGATCCCGGCAGCAGGTTGTAGAAGCGTCGATGACATTGGCGAGCCGACGTAAGCGGAGCTGTCATCAAGGGCTCCCAACTCATGGCTGTTTGGTTGCAAGGCAAATCGAGACGTTTCACCCGAGTTTCGACCCATTCTCGTTTGGGAGTTCTCAAGCGAACTTTATCAAAACCTCCAAACTGGACTGTTGGCATTTGGTCCCATTTGCACCATGACAAAATGACACCAGTTTTGAAAGCTTGTAACATCTGGGGCTATAGTCGGCTACAGTCAAGAAGGTAGGAGAAGCTCCTCCCACAAGCATGATGCGCCCGTTTCAAATCCATTCGCAGTCGAAAGAATAGTTCACTGGAAACGCCCCTTGTTCCGCTTCAACGAATAGATATCGGCTACAGAGTGATGCCAACTTGTCTCCGACCCCCTCTTTTTAAGAGAGCGACCTTTGTATTCATCAGAGAGGGAACCGAGCCCCTGAAAGTGGGTTTTGTATGCATCAGAGGGGGAACCTAACCGCCCAAAGTCATACTTGTTTCCATCAGAGAGGGAAAACTCTAATCTCCCTCTCGTGGCTTCCACAACGCTAAGTCAAAGTTGAAAGATAAAGCAAATATTTACAGGAAGGCAAAACCCTTTCCCGCGTTGGTCACAACGTCGCGGAAACGATGGGACACTATTTGATGCGGAGGTGGCGGAGGGATATATGCCCCTTTGAGAGGCATTTGCTGCTACCTTCTTGACTTGTAACATACTATAGCTTGTGCGGAATGTTATACGACGAAATACAGAACGCTGGGATGAGTAATATTGATAATACCAAAACAAACATGCATCATTTTTACTTGTGTTTTCACCGTCCAAATAGAGATACACCGGGTGTTTCAAAGAAAAGCATGAAGTCTATTTTACAGATCAGTTGCACCTTTGAAACGGGGCAGTTTTGGCAAAACAGCAAAATTAGGGCAAATGTAACATCTCGAAACAAATTTTCTTATTTTTATTTAATAGGACAAAAATAGAAAGCACTTAGTATAAAGCATACATTACAGAGGAGGCCTGGGCATGATTCATAAAGTGGAAAAACAAGCCGACGGTAGTGTTCAGGCCAACATTAGTCTTAGTAATTAAAAGATAAGACTCCAATCAAAGCCCTAAGAATGTGACCCTACATTTCAATCTGGGGTGTCTGCGTTCCAAACATGAGCCTTGTGAGGATCCCGCTTCAGTTAATGAGATAGATGAATATCAAGACGTTACAATGGGCATTCCCCAACATGCCTTTTGTCATCACGTGATATTACTCCATACGACTGTTTGTGCTTGGTCTCCTGTTTCCACAATGGTTCCATTGTTCCAAGATGAAGCTACAACTCATCCAAGTTGCATCAATATAACCGAGCACCGCAATTAGCCGAGAAATACTGCGCAACACGCCCTCCTGCTTTAGAAGTGACCACACATGTGGAATGTCGGATGGCGGTAGAAAAGGGAAGCGTCGCAAGTTTGCAAACGAGGACCCTTAGTCGGCCGTCATCCGCGTACTACGCACTCTGGAGTTCCGCTCTCTGAACAGAAGCCCATTTCTTTGGAGCAAATCGGAAATTGCAACCACAAAGAACAGCTTGCGAAAAAACATTATGATTTTGGAAAGCGATTACAGTCGATGCAAATGCAGTTTCTTCAGTCCTACAAACACACGGATGTAGGTATGACCCATCCGACGACAATGAGTGATTCGATGAGCTGTGCACCTTTTACTTTGGGGAAAGCATCCCCGGCCGGTGCGTTCAGCAGCCTGTTCCGCCCGCGCATCAAAAGTGGCCCCGAAAGACGTCGCAAAAGTCAGAGCGTCATGCCGTCAGACGGGGCGATCCCAGCGGTCGGGCGTAGAATTTCCCGCCAAAAGTATGACCGAACGTGGGTCGCGCCGTCGTCGCGCCTTCCCAACTCCCGGCCGCCAAAGCTTCCGCGGACTGTGAAGCCGGAGTTCAACCTTCGAACTCCGGCTTGTTGCGATGCCACCAGGATTGCGGTTGGCAACAGCATGACACTTCTAGGACGTGGAGACGTGTTTCAGGGAACATGCTCTTGCCGGGAGATCCGAAAAACGGCTCCCCTCGCAGTCGTCGCGGTTGCGCGAGGATTGGATGGATTCGGCGAGTTCGGACTCACCGAAGGGTAGAAGTAGATGGCCGGGTAGGAGTCGATGCCCTTAGGGACCTCGACGGACCGGTCGGGGTGCCTGTACCCGTGCTCGTAGTAGCTCTCGTCCCCGAAGGCGTCAAAGAGTAGCTCCACGCACACGGCGTCGGACTTCTTGTAGAAGGAGGCTATCCTGCAAACAGAAATGCCGACGGTTTCCTTAAAAGGATATTTGAACGAAATTTGAAATATACTCGTCGTGTTCAGAAATAGGTCTAATATGATCCACAATATCCGTAAATGACAATCACAGCTTTGTATTTTGAGCTTGATGGCTGTATTTATCGTTAGAAACAACCCCTCTGGCAAGCGCTCGGAGAGCAGCCAGCAGAGAGCACATCACATCCGGCAACCTGCAATCGTGACGTAGTTCGTCTGGGGATGAGCAAAGCTGCGGCAAAGCCGACGTTGTCAGGGTGTCCTAGCCGTTCCAGCCACCGAAGCGGTCGAAGCACGCAAGCCATCTGGCCACCACAACTAACTGCAAACCTGCTTTTCTGTGAATTTTGAGTGACGAGTTAATCTTAAGAATCCTGTAGAGAGAAAATAGCGACTGGGACACACAAAAAAAGAGTCCCGTTGAGTGGGGAGTTCCTCCCTCCCCTCTTCTCTTGTGCTAGCCGTATCGTAGAGCTGTCGGGATGACGTCAGGTTCAAAGCATGTTTAGTTCTAGGCGAGACAGTTACCGTCACTACCTGTCAAGGCTCCTAGATGGGCATTACTAATGAGGCTTTAGTAACATCCACCAGGTGCTCTTTGCTAATCATTTAATTTGTTTTAAAATTCCTTTGGTGTCTTTATGAACAAGATATTGGTGGGACCAATGTGATACTGCTCCTTTGAACACGTATACATCAAAAAATAAGCTCCGAAATTTCGTAGTAGTACCCCTTTCAATGGCCGAACCACGGTATCGCTGGGCAACCTCGCCGGATCGGAACTTCCAGCATAATTGTTCTGGTTAGTTTCTTGTGGTGACTGGACCTCTGAAAAACTCGTTGTACGCTTTTAAATGCGTCCAAACCACCGCATGTGATGAACCTTTTTTCCCAAACTCCAGCTAACAACTTTTCTTACCAGAGATAACATGTGGGTTCAGTTTACGTTTTATTGCAGCAATACATTTTGGCAGAAGGTAACTCAGATTTCACGTCTGTTTGAAGGCCAAAACGTGGCACAAAGATATAAAGTAGCAGTTTGCCACCTGCCAGACACTTGCACCGTCAACCAACTGCACATTTGGACACGTCCCGCGTCAACACGTCGTAACCCCCCCCCCCCCCCCCCCTCCCACCTCAACGCTTCCTCATCTCAGTCTGTACATTCTCCATTGTCACGAGAAACAAATGGTAGAACAGGACGATGAAGCGACTCTTTGAAAAGACATGGCAGCACGTGGCAGGGAGGGCGGATATCAAATGCAAGTATCAGCTGCGTTTCTTATAAACCGCAATTCTGCACACGACAACATTATAAATAAATTGAAATTCAGCTGCAAATCGTTTATGTGTTCACGAGTAATACCCCTTCTAGCGAATAGTCTCCACAGATGTTATAACATTTGGGTGCTTTTATGAACAAGAACATATTCTGAGCATGGCTCATTGTTATCACCCACATTCCAGGTGAACACAACAACCGCAAACGAGACTTCTGATATGTGTGATACCATGTCCACATGTGCGATGATTACATACCCTCCGAAAGATCGAACCTAGCACTTTTCTTTTTTTTTTTTTTTTTTTTTGTCATTCACTTTGGGAATTAGAAAAGGGGGTCATTACTTGTGGCAGTAGTCCACGGTCATCTGCTGGCCAAAGTGCTTCATTTCCTGATGAGTGGTCTGTTTGCTGAGTACCTTGTTGAAGTACAGAGTGAACTGAAAAAGTACAAAGATGCAAGCTTCCACACAAAAGTTCAGACAAGCTGGGCTTCATATCTTTGCCGGATGAGACTGCGAATAAACTGCAAATCTAGAAAGAAACCGTGAAGTATATCTTGAACCTTGATTTTATAGGTGAGACACTGAATGATACCAACCGAGTTCTTATATAGACAGCTGATTTCAAAGACCATAAATCAATTAAACAGTCCACGATATATCACACTGGTGGCACAGCACATCCGAAAGTCAAAAATAAGAAACAAGTGCGCGTAACCAATTCTTCACCTGTAGTCGCCCAAGTGGAGGGCAACAGAGGTTTTACACTTCCCTTTTACATCCGATAGTTTCTGAGTGCTGAATATTGCAACAAAAAATCTGGCACAAATATCTTGGAACAACATGCACACTTAAAACCCTGGAGTGCAAAGAATGTCCTTTCAGAAAAAGTTTGGAAGTGTCTTTTACGTCCTAGAAAAAAGTTGCGCACCTTTCCTACCATGACCGCATTCAGCCTGTTGATCCAGGCATAGAGGTGAGGAAGGCGTTCGGGACGCAGGAGAGAGGTTCCCAGACGACGCGTCTGGAAGGCAAGCAACAGAAACGATTACCAAATTTTCCCATTCAATCTGCCACTCCATACCACCGAAACAATGTTGAACAGTCCAGCAAAGAACAGTCTCATCATAAAGTAAAACATTACCACAGAGTAAAAAAAATTATCCAGTGTAAGCACCCCAGCCATTTATTGCATGTAAATCCATTGGTCGCATGTTCTACCCTTCCACTCAAGTGTGTGCATCTTAGAGTAAGTCTTATTAATTCAGTTCCAGACATCACGGGCCGTCGCATTCACAAACGCCGATCCTTGTGCTTTTTGGACATGCATGACCTTAGGGCCTCGGGCCAAGCTTGTTTTGGCAAAGGCCCATCTGCTTCTAATATTTTTATCCCTTTCTTTAGCACAAAGTGCATGTGTGCATGTTTCAGTCGAGCTCAGAGGTTTGGTTTAGCTAGTTTTGTTTCGTGGAAAAGAAAGGTACTCCCTAGTAAAGGTAAGTTTGACGTACATTCCGAGGGACCTCGTAAAAAGCCCATCGTCTCCACCTGGCATTTCGAGCGGTCACAGCCTTATCTCTGCATCTGCACGGACGTGAACACTGACATACCTCTGCGAGGTATCGGGTGCCCCGACAAAGTTTGTGAATGTGGGCATCGTGCGACTGTTGATACCTCTTTCCGTCTTTCGTAATCGTAAGATTCGTAATCTTCGTGCGAGATTTAGATCACAAGCTTTTATTTTACCTATCTAAAATTTAACCGCGCATTAAAATCTACATTAAAAAAAAGAAAAGAAAAAAAACCTTGCACGAGAGTTGTTTGTGTGCTCGCATTTCTTACGAGTCGTGAATGCAAAACCACGGATATCGTTCTTCCGCTCCCTTAGTTTGTCTGCGGCGTAGTGGCATGGATGGCCATGTTTCGCCGGCCGACAGCCCAGCACGTGCTCTCGTGAAGTGGCCGCACGCACTCGGCCATGCACCCGCCCCGGAGCTTACCCGAAAGGGCTCTGCCACCACCGCCGGCCACCACTCCCTCTTACTGGCGGACGGGTCGCTGCGTGCGCTGCGCCGCCTTGGAGAGGGCTTCTCTGGTGGCCTTTCTTGTAACTACGCCGCACGAGATCAATAGGAGCCTCATTCCTTAATGATGTGCGCCAGCCAATGGGAGCCTATCCATGAGATTTCTGCTACAGACGACATTGGGACAGGGGAAGGGACCGTTTGGTGCGGCGTCAAAGCTGATGACGTTGGTTCACTCCATAGGACAATTAATGGTTTTGCATTAAAACAAATCGAAGCGGTTCAATAATACCATTAACAAAGCTCTAACCGACTGCATTGCAGAGTCAAATAAAACGTTCAGCCTTTCCACTCTCGTGAAGAAGGAAGACCAGCGGAGCTGAACTCGATACACTGCCGCAACGCGCACCCGTGCCCGTTTCCCGCTTCTTCTCGTTCGGCACGCCGGCAATCGTTGATACGTCTCCAGTGACCCAGAGTCGGTTGCACACGGCGCACGTGACGCCAAACGGGTAATCCACAAACTTCCTCCGGAACATCGCCGTCGCACCCGGGAACTGTTCAGCCGGCGTGGAGTGCAGTCGTCGTTGGGACTTGCGCTTGCGCTTGGCCTCCGTGGTACAATCGTCGCCCGTGGCGTTAGCCCGCCGGCAACCTTTACATCGCTGGTTCTGTTCTTGGCGGCAGCTTCCCAGGCGAGCGATGCGCTCTTCTTTGCAAGAGAATCTGAAGCGCTCGACGTAGTGGAAGTCGAGGCGAGAGCGGCTTTGCGGCGATTACGGATCCATTCGCGTTGCTGCGTATGTTGCCGCAACCTTCCGCAGCCAGTCTTCTTTCCCCCAAAAGGGCACACAGCTGACCCATCCTCAGTCTAAACCGAAACTGATAAGAGCGTAGGAAACAGCACACAAAACAGACGAGGATGAAGAAACACACGTGACGAGCGCTGCGCTCGTTACATGTGCTTCTTCTTTGTCATTGTCTGTTTTCGTTGAGTTCCCACCAACGCGCCGCCCAACTATCCATTCTTCTATGATAGCTGGAAAGGTTGGCGCCATCTACCAGTGGCAGCGGCAACCATAGTAGTTGTGTGCTTGCCGTCGTCGCTTATAGATGACGGTAGCTGTCCAGAGGCGTTTTTGTCAACAGGTGTTTTGTACCGGGCACGATTCTCGAGAACCTAGCCCTTAACAGCTTCGCTATAAAAAGCAGGCTTCTTAAGAGTAACACTGCAGTGACTGGAAGGCATCTCGAACTAGTTTGTTTGGAGCCACACACTGCTCCTATACACCTTTCCAAAAATCGCTCCTAGGCCGCCGCCATGCTGCTGATGCTGATGCGGCTGGTGCGACTCTCGCGCCCCCTATCAGCTAGAAATTTTCTGCCACTCTTTGGGACTGTGAAGACCCGCTCAGCGCGGTCCTCTACGTACGTTTTTGCGGTTTTGCATTCGACGTTTTCTCGGCTCTCTTGAAAGTTTCCACTTATTTTTTTATGCGTGCTGAGTACCCTTTTTGTGTTGTCTTCCATTGTGAGAAATAAGGCTGCTAAGTGCCTGCCATTCAAGCTTTTCTGCTCGACATTCACGGGAAAGGTGAAGGACGTTGAACGGCCCTCGACGCGATTTTGCGAACATTGTTCTCCCCCCTCCCAGAGATAATCCGCGTAGAATCGTCAGTTATCTCCAAAAATAGTTGTCCGGGTTGGGGTGAGAAATGGGTCAGTCGCATTTGTTTCTTTGCCTTGGTGCGGTTGTGAAAAAAGGAAGCTCTCCCCGAAACGTGCCCCAAAACGAAGTCATCTCGGATTCCGTGCGATCGTCAAGATGTGACTGTCGTCGACTGTGACTGTGTTATTTGAGATCTTTCTCAAATAAATTCTTTTCGGATAACGCTGCATCGTTTGGTACGTACGATCCTTAATTGTATGTCCGTGTCCTGTCCATCGGTAAACACGTTATTTGTGAGTGTGACAAATGCATGCCTTTCGGCCCTCTTCTGTTGCAATTTATTTTTGACAGCAAAACGCTTTGTTGTTTCACATCCGGCGAATCCCGCTGCGCCGTCAAAACTTATCGTAAGAAAAAAAAAATAACTAGAACTATACATTCCAGTCGTATTCGTTCTGTCGCGCGCATACCCCAAAAAAATAGTTAACTGTTCTTTTTTTTTTTTTTTTTTGCTTTTTTTGTTTTTTCAATTGTGGTACAATGCTTTCTCAATGTTCTCGGGAAAATACATGTACCATGAAACACAAAATATAGCGGGAAAAGGCGATAATTTAGCCGCCAGCAGCGTTTAAAACTGCGCCTACGCAGGCTGCGCGTATTGAAATCACAGTCCACTCGGTTAGGGTTAGGAGGGACGCCGGTGAGAGTCTCGCCTCAAACTCAGTGACTGGGCTCGAAAACAGATTGTTGCCCCTGGGGTCGAGTGTTTTTTGGAAAGGTGTATATCAGAGTCTTCTCAAAACAGTAACAAATATATGTCACAGGAGCTGTGGGGGCAATGCTCCGTGTTGTTGCAATCCCTGTACTTGGTTGCAAAAAGCACTGGCAATGAAGACAAACAGACATCACAGTCCCTATAATCGGGGTGTCAGCGTCACTATAATCGGGGCGTAGTAAAGCTACTGTCAGCCTGTCTGTACTGCTGCGGTTCACTCTCAACTCGGCAGTCCACGGAAGCTTTTGCATCAACGAGCCTAGATGCCACGGCAACGGCGACACTTTCGTTTGCTCGTCTTTTTTCTCTCCCAACTTCCACAACCGACGGCCAGGATTGCGAATCGGACGGCATGACACGCCGGCTACTATGACAGTCCGTTGACATTTTGGGAACACTTTCAATGTATGAGTGGTACGGGGCGCTAAACACGCCGGTCAAGGACATACTTTGGGCACCGTAAGATGGCCACTCCTCGAGCTAGCTAGGGATAAGCTGGAACCGGCCTATTTGAGGATCCCCGGTGGCAAACCTCCAGCGATTCCTCACCCCGGGCGGCATGAGACTAGCATTCCACTCCCCGAGCTTGACCTGAACCTCCTGGAGGTGCAGGAGGGCCTGAAGGAACTGCCACTTGGACAGGATCACCTGTGCCTCCAACAGGTGGTGCAGTGTCTCCAGCTCCAGGCTGCACAGGCATAAAAGCGGCAGACATGAGGCACGCATTGTTCGAGGAACTCGGTCGTGACCCTGCTACTCCGAACTATTCAGGAGATGGTGGGGAGGAAGAGGGAGGGGGATGGTTGCAGTAAGGGGCGAATGATTTTCTGCCCCCTCCCCCATACTTTTTGCATCAAATTTTCTAAATATCTGGGAAAAGGTGAGGGATCGCCCTCCATGCCCCATCTGCTCCGACGCCCCTACAGAAAACTTAAAACATGTTCAAACTTATCAAATGCTCAGCTTAGCGAGTGTCCAAAACATCAGGGTCGCTACGTCCAAGTTTCTGTCACTGTAAATATGATGAAACAGCCTTTCGATGAAAATGTACTAATAAAAAGAAACATTCATATAGCGGGCCACGGGAAAATATGACTCCTATGTGTTTCATGCTATTATATGGCATGAAACCCTCCCCCCCCCCCCCATTCAGAACAAGCCTGCATCAGTCTCTGAATGTGCACGGTTTATTGGACGACGACCTTGAGCATCGAGCTAGATATAAAACGACTATGAATTCTTCAATTAGTAGCAAACAAAGGTGCAAACTGGTTTGAAACTTTGACAACCCTAAATAGAAAACAGATGTGCTATATCATTGGCCATTCATTAAGAGGCGGCAGCAAAGAAAGCATTTTGAAAACTGCAGCGACAAAAAGACAACTGGGTAGACATATTTCTCTATGAAAGCAGAAAACTGGGCAAACTGTGAGCACAAAACATCGGACACCTGCGTTTTTCATATGTTGCATTGGTTATAATTGTATGTATAGGTACAACAAGAACCGTGGCCCCCTCCCCAAAGCATGCATGGACATTTTCCAAAAAAAGAAAAAAGAACAGCACTGGCGGAATCTGTCCCACTTCTCATAAATATCGTCCTCCCCCCCACCTCCCCCACCTCCCCCCCCTTGAATTCTGACCTCTCTCTACCCCAAAAGGCGACGAAGTCTTTGTCTCCCCCCTCCCCCTTTCCTGACTCTCTCCCCCCAGCCAGCCTTTGAAAGTGCGGGGAAAACACGTAACTCTAGAGGTACCAACATTCTCCACTTCCCCCCCCCCCCCCCCCCCTCCCCTTCCCAACTAATAGTCATTACCACCCGAAAAGAAGAAACTCTTATTTGCTGTGTGTGTACTGATGATGCCTCCCGCATGCAAGGCGAAATGTCTAATGAAGTTGTTTTTGTTCTTATGTCAAGTCGGTGCAATTATTCTTTTCGTACATATAGGTGCAAAAAACTGAAATCAATCGCAGTGAAAGAATGTCTCTACCCGACTAGGCAATTTTTGTTTCCTTCTGAAAGAGTTTCTGGGCAAAGAACCAAAAACACTTGCCATGCCAGGGTTCTTTTGATCTACCCTACATTTTGGTACATGCCCTTAAAACTTCCCAAGCTTCTAGTGTCCTATGACAAAAGCATCAAGCTGGCATAGAAGTTGTAAGCACTGCAAAAATGTGGCAGTGCAAGTAACTGTACGTACAAGAGTGTTGCAGTGCATTCTAGACAGATCTCTAGGAACTCTAAAACAGATTAGTAAAATGCTGAACACATCCATTATAGAGTCCAAGAAACTCTGAGGCAGATTCTATAATGGATATGTGAGTTTGAATCGCATTAGCTTCATGCCTTGAGGAACTCTTCCAGTGAGATGACTACAGCTTACCTGAAGGAAGACTTGAGAGGCGTCAGCAGGGGGTGATGAAAAAGCTTTTGGCTGTGCGAAATGATGTCTGCCAGAGTTCCAGACAGCTCCTCAAACTTCATCATCTTCCCAGAACTCAGAGAAAAAAGCTTGTCGTAGCTAAACACGAATTAAGGAATATATGGCTGGATCTAGGTAGTGCACCTCACTAACTTGTTTCCCTTGTTTTATGCTTTCTAAAGGACAGAGCGAGGGTGGGCAGTTTGCCGCTTTAAAATGAGTCAGTGACAGAAGCACATCCAGCTACAGGAACTACAAGCCTAACGTAAAAGCTTATGAAAGAACTCTTATGAACGACCAATCAGCCCGCGTGCAAGAAAAATTGACTTCCAGTATATTAATAGTGAAGGTCTGCCGTGCAATTTCTTTCTCATAATGTTTTTGGCAGAAGAACTGTCTTGTTCCAACAAACCCACGAATATCATTCAACTAGTAAGCAGAGAGAAACTTTAATGTCTCCTTCCTAGCACGTGCATCAATTTGTAAAAGGGCCTGTTAGCATGTGGAGGTTATGCTTATATTCATTTTCACAGCCAGTTGGGTTGAAGCATGAAAAAACATACAACTCGTATACTCCCTGACATCTTGAAAACCCGAGGCCAAGCAAAGAAGGGAACAACGCATGCAGAGGTCTCGGTGCGCGTCGTCTCCACTATTCCATACTTTGTTTTACCTTAAAGATGTACCGCAATGAACCTCACCGGCCACAAATAACCAATCTAGCACTCCTGTCAAGTTTAAGTTCCAGGCTTCCTTTCTTTTCAACATACGTCTCTCTCTCCAGCGCTCCACGTGTGGCACGTGACTTCAAGCTCCGCACATAGGCTCACAGAACCGGAAGGTCACGCAATATGTTCCAAACTATGGGTTGACTCCAGTGACTCATAGTGTCCGCTGCGGTATTACAAGAGATAAAACCATGATTGGGAAAACCCAGCTGAACATACAATTATGGGAACATTCATACAAATGATAGGAGATAAAGAAATGTGCAAACCACTGGTTGTTTGAACTATGCTGCAGACTATGGTGGTGCACTATTCTGGTGCAAACTATGCTGGTGCAAACTATGGTGATGCAAACTAGTAGTGCAAGCTATGCTGATGTACAAACTATGCTAGTGCAAACTATGGTGGTGCAAACTATAGTGGTAAACACTATGGCGCCTAGGACGCGTCTCCGACTGCCGTGTTTTACCGCATCCTGAAATGTGGTCCCTCGATTTCCGCCCGATGACATCATGAAAGTGTCATGCCGTAGCTGTCCACAGTACTGGTGGTGTCGCAGCAGTAGTGGTGGATGTGTAAGATGCCTGTTCTGCAGCAGGTCGCTCTTCAGCTCAACACTCCACGGAAGTTTGGGCAGCCAGGAGTTGGAACGCTGCGAAGATGGCGACACTCGCATTTGCTCATATGTTACTCCCAAACTTCTATGCACAACCGTCGGGACCTCGACATCTTGCAGCACAATACTTCAGCATTTGCAACATCATATGTTGACACTCTGAGATAACTTTTGATACACAGGTGGAACAGGACGCTAAACGCACTGGATGGGGACGCGTTCCAGGTATAGTAACGGAACGGACCATAGACGGGCACTAAGACAGCTTCATCCTCTCAACGAGCAGACGACGAAAAAAAGGATACAAGTCCATCGACTTGAGCCGGGCGGACACGAACGTGTAGAGTTGCTCGCACAGGTGGCTCAGGAACGAGTCAACCACTCCCATTGGTGGAGACAGGGACACTGTAGAGGAGCTGCTCTGGTAGGAGCCAATCACGATGCTAGGGCTCATGGAGGTCAGCGAGGCCAGAGAGGGCGACGGGGTCAACAGAGGAGAGTAGGTCGACGGCGACGGGCTTGACGAGAGCGGCGTGCACCCCGGAGCCTGGTCCTTGAGTCGGCGAAACTCAAGTCGAAGCGCCTCGTACACCGATTTGAGCGAGCTCTGAAAAGATGAGCCACGCCTGGTTACCGAACCATTAAGTTCGTGCTTTTTGGATTCTGAGAAGTACTGGCTACATTGCGAAATTGATAACACCAAGAAAAGCCATTTGCTCTATTACAATCACGCAGTGGCATAAAAAGGAAGGGGAGGGGGGGGGGAGGGGGGGGGGGGGGGGGGGGGGGCAACCACCTCCCCCTTAAGACATTTCGGTCATTTCTATACTTTGTTTTGCTGTAAGCATGAGCAACGGGGAAGCTACAAGAGCGAGCACACACTTCGAGCCTGCATGCTATAATTGCATGCTTGTAAAATGAAAGCTTCGTGCAAGACAACATACTCATGCTTGTAGCCTCGGCTTTGCTCGGGCATGTAAAGACCCATTCGCACACTTGCGACTCCCTAGAACCGACCACCTTAAAATCTCTTACGACGAGAGAACACACTGCCACGTTGGTGCCATCTATGCGGCGACCCTGGAACTGCATTTCACTAGAGCAAAGGTTTAGCGGTATTTGCGAGGTCAAATGTATGCACTACTTATCAAAAATGTTTGTTTATTACATCAACAAGTTTTTGAAGCCAAAAAAAAAAAAATGATGTGCGAAGGAAATTGAAAATATATGGGACAACCCAGTGTTCCACTGCTACCCGTTAGGTGGTCCCAGTCTCTCCTCCTGTCAAAGCACTCGGTTCTAAGTCACAAGCATGTGAACAATCCTTAATGAAACAGAGTACGGTAAACAACTGTGAGGATGGGGAGGGAAGTCACCCACCCACTGCCCCGTTGACCCTGCCCCCCTATATCCCGAACACTGCCAACGTCACCATGTTGATGTCCCACCATCGCAACAAATGCCAAATTCATTCTGGCGATATGACCAGATCAGCCCCCTGGCAAGCCGGGCGATGGGCGCCGCATGCTCTGTCACTCTTCCGCAACTGATGGAGAATTGCCAAAGAAGCGATGGCTTAAGACCTACTTACTAGATGTGCATGATGCCAAACATATCCTTCTGTTGTCTTCGAACGAGGTGTAGTTAGCAGGTCTACAAGCAGTGTGTTGTCTGTTTGTTTAATGGGAAGCAAGGCCACCACGACGCTCCAGGAACGTCAGACAAGTTTACACTGGCAGCACATGCTATTCTGCTTCACCACCGGTTCTATGCCTTTCTTGTTAATCTAGACAATTTATGCTGCCGTCTCGTGACAAGAATGTCACTGTATTTGGGGGCGATTTGCAGAATACATTCATTGCCCAGTGCAAATGCCAATTACATTTTCAACACCTCACAATACTTGGTTTAACTGAAGTGCAAGCGTAGAAGCTACAAGAGCTATCTAGGAGCTTCCAAAGTACGCTAACGTACACGAGTCTGTGCAGAGCAAGCATCCCTCAGGGCAACATGCCCGTGATTGAAGCACTATGCTAGTCTGGCTTCACATTATACACATAAGGTGAAGCCAGACTGACGTTGACCCCTGTAGGAAAAGTAATAAATGCAGACAAACCAGTGTTCAACTTTCATACTTAACCCCCCACAAAAACCATGTTTTGATCATTCAGGCAATGATGTTGGCATTTTTTTTTATTGGACAACTGTTTAGTTGTATATTTTGTTTTCCCCATAGTGTGTTTTGGTCTACAAGCTGACAGTAATAAATGGAAAAAAAAAAAATGAAATTAAAGCACAGACGTTTCGAACCTGGCTTTACGTATTGTTGTTGTTAGCGATGTAGTCAAAAAAAAGAAATAGAGGCAATCGTGCTGTAGGCTCACAGGCCCGTCCGTCACTTAACGAAGTCGTTTTCATACATTCATACACTCGTCAAATCCGGCCGCTCCATTGGTCTAAAAACTTTGTCGAATCATGATTAGAGTTGCGTGTGTCCCGAGCCAAAATAAATAATGCTAATGCTAAAACACCTCTCCGCAAGCAAGGGAGGTTGGGGGTTTGAACCGGTGTTTTAGATCGATGAAGAGGAATAGAGTAGCAGCTGATTTTGAGACACTGCTGTTTTCCTTGTTGACTTACGTCTTTGCGAAGAAAACTTTTCGGCACCAGGTACTGCAACGACATATACAACTTCTCCGCGACCGCCAGTTGCGACAGTGCCGTGAGAGCACTGCTGAACAGGGAGGTGTTTATGCCGGCTTTGACTAGCCCATCCCGCTCTTTTTCCTGGAAAAGCGAAAAATAAGACGTCTCAGCAACTGAGGTCTCCGTGCGATCCAGTGCACTAGGCCTAACGACTCAGCGGGACGCACTCACAGCAATTTCCTTCGCCTTGTCATAGTAGAAATGACCGAGGCTCATAAAATAGGCCTCTAGGACTCTCTGCTCCTTTGCCAGAAATTCTTCCGACTCCATTTCTGTTCGTGTGGGAATTTTTCACATTTTTTTCACCGATGTAAACAATATTCCCGCGTTTGCAGACGCAGACTCAGCTGTCAGGCTACGGCTACGACAACAGTGTGGATTAAAATATGACTTCTGAGCGCAGCTTATCGTAAACGGCGAAAAATGTTTGAACAGCAGTAGAGGCTTTATTACACGACGTATCGGGATGAGGCTTCCCTTCTTCAAGTGTCTTGAACACTTGAAGAAGGGAAGACTCTTCCTGAAACGTCGTGTAATAAAGCCTCTACTGCTGTCCAAACATTTTTCTGTCCTGATAGGTGCGTAAGTTTCGGTTTCGTACGAACGGAGGGGCTTATAGCGAGTTCGTTTCACGGCACTCGTGCCCACGCGTGCCCACTCGCAGCGTGGAACGGGTTCGTTTCGGCCGGCGCTCCACGAGTGGTTGCACTCTCCGAGTTCGTTTCAGCGCTGACACCCCACGCGTGCTTGCACTCGCTGCACCGAGAAAATCGGGAGTGCGCCAAAATGCAATCCCGTCATGCCTCGCTCCGACGGGGCTGGCGAGGTGCGGGAGCAGACGACGAGGGTTCGTCTGCTGCGATGTGTCGCGGAACCGAACGAAAAAAAAAAAAAAGTAGATTTTCTGATAGAAATCGCGTCCCGCGGGAAACGAAATCAAACGCGAGCTTGAATTGTGAGCGTCTGCTATTTCACGGAGGAAGCAATTGACAACCCGTGATTTATTTGTAGGTTTTAAATCGCTCTGTTGCCGTACAAACGCTGTAATATACCAGTGTGCAAGGAAATGCTCAGAACAAACGCAACAGCGGCCCCCGAGATGTCGATCACCATCCGTGTGCGGGTGAAAAATTTAACATTTGTCGATAAAACTCCCCCAGCAGAAACCTCTGACTGCCCAATAAGCATCAGAGAAAACTAAAGATGGTGACTTTACCCGAGGATTGGGCAACATCATCATGTTTAACATTTACCTACGCAGCTAACTTGCCCCGTCGTATTTTGTTCGAGAAAGCTCTCGTTCTCGATGCCCTCACCAAGGCTAATATCTAATCCACCTATTATGACGATCCAAATCGAAAGTCCCAGTTTTGCTGGATATTCCAACAGGCTAGTTTTAAGCCGTACCCTTTCTGTGCTTCACGCATAATACCATGCTCAAACGGATCAAGCTTCTGCTCGGACAGCATCATCAGTTTTCTTCAGTGTAAACGGTTATAAGGATTGAAAGATCGCAATCAGCTGCTTTGTAGACAGCTGGTTGCGGAAATTTACGCCGTCTGTAACTATCCCTACGGCAGCCGAGCTGCTTGAAGACATCGCAACTATGAACTACAGGTTGCAGTTGCCAACGTTTGTAGATAAACGTTGGTAGCGATTGCATTCTCGCATTCCCACGCATCACTCGGAACAGAAAGGCACTAGTTTCGGTTTGAAGTCGGTACCTTTTCTACAACATAGATGGCGACAGCATCAGTCTTCTGCACTCGGTGCATTTGGCGAGTTCGTTTGAGTCCAGTTTTCCGTGCAACACTCAGTGAGTGCGATGCATTCTGGGAGAGAACTCGAACGGTGCCAGTGCGTGTGAAACGAACTCGCTATTAGATGGAAAAAGGATGTCATAAAACGTGTCGCGAACCGGCCGCGGGTCGAGTTCGACCAGGTTCGACTTTTTCGAACTTTTAGTGGAAAGTTCGTCGAACCTTGTATTGAGGTTCGACTCGTGTGCGCATGCGCGACAGGCTGGCCAGTTGGCTTCGGATTGGATGGTAATGGCTAAGAGATTAATTAAGTGCAGCGCTGATCGGCTATTTCAGTCAATACAGTACTAAAATTTAAGTTATTAACCTCTTCAGTGAATACAATTAGTTTCTTTTAATTGCAGTTGTTCACACAATAAAACAACCTTTTGCATAAAAAAAGAAATTCTCCAAACTTAGACATGCTTGTATCAAGGTCTGGCCACACTGTCCACAAAGTCGAACCGGTCGAGACTCGAAACTGGTGAAAAGGTCGAAGGTTCGTCGAACCGGTTCGACCCAGTCGAACCCCGAAAGTTCGACCAAAAAATCTGGTTCGACAAAAGTTCGCGACACCCCTAATTACAACGAAGAAAAAAGTGTTTAGAGCTATATTTATACAATATATATTTATACAAAACCAACAAGGCGACTTTAAATGAAGACTTCGTCATTTTTATTTTTTAAGAACATATGCAAAGGAGAAAAAAACATTTTTTTTTAAACAGCTTAGATGGGAAAAGGATGTAATAAAACGATTTGACAACGAAGGAAAAAAAAATTTTAGAGCTATATTTACGGCGCTATATGAATTTGTAGTTGGCGCGCGCGGGCGCCGCGGAAAAGTGGCCCTTATTTATCACGTGACTGGCCCTTATTTATCACGTGGTGCTTGCGATCTTCCGGAAGCTTCGTATGGCGTCTAAAAGTAACTTATTCGTCTTTGTTTGAACTATAACAAAAAACAAAGATTAATAGATAACTTTTAAAGCCCAAAGGAAACTCCTTGCAAATTGCAAGGAGACGTGATAGACCTGTGCGCCGGTCAGACGACGGCGGCGGCGCCCTGAAACATACGAACTTGTGCGGCGGCGACGAAGGCGGCGTGTAGAAACGCGTTGAAACGACGTTTGTACAACGCTCAGCGTGCGGCGGCGGGGTGACTCTGTGGCGGTGGCGACGCAACGCGGCGGCGCCGCGTTGCGTCGCCGCCACGTTACGCCGCCGCCACCAGCCGCGGGAGCCACCGCTGGTGGCGCCCGCGGGAGCCACCAGCGGTGGCTCCCGCGGGCGCAAACTACAAATTCGTATTGGGCCGTAAATATAGCTCTAAAAATTTTTTTCCTTCGTTGTAAAATCGTTTTATGACATCCTTTTTCCTTCTAAGCTGTTTTAAAAAAATGTTTTTTCTCCTTTGCATGTGTTCTTAAAAAAATAAAAATGACGAAGTCTCTTGTTGGTTTTGTATACGCGTTACATTATCAGGACCTCTTGTAATTATATTACCCCATTACAAATGTTTGGCATTTAGTCATGCCTAAGTATGTCGAGACTGTCGAGTGTGATTGTAATTTGCGATTTAGGCTGCATACTTCTAAAATCATTTCAAATTGCTATACCTATCTAGGATCTTCTGAAGGAGTGATGGGCTGTCTCAACCATCGGATCGATCTTTCACATTATTGCGAAGGCACAGCGCACATTCGGCATAAGTCTCTCAGTCAAAGTTAAATTTGCTGTTGATAACGTGGGGTTAGCCTGCCAAAGTTTTAATGCGAAAGCATTGACTGGTCCCACGAAGCGAACCGACGTCATCAGATTTGAAGCCGCGCTTTCTCGTGCATCGTTTGCTTTCTCGTACATCTGATACGCTGACCCTCGCCCCTCTGGAGACTTCTGCATCCGCAAGAAGGTTGGAGGAGTAAAAGAGAGACTGCTCATTCCATAGACCAGAATGTCGACCATGCGGGGACCTGGCGCTAGTTTCCCAGGATACAGTGACTTTCAGTCTTGTAATAAAATATATGTAGAAACGGTTACGAGTCTTTTTAGTCCTTCCAAAAGTAATCAGATTAATCTTGCAATTACTTCTTAAAAATGAATTAAAAAATTACTAAAAAAAAGCAATTGATTACTGTCTCACACCAAAAAATACTGATTGCACGACCGTCGATTGCACGTTTGTCTGATTGCACGTTAATTTAAAACCCAGTATCTTGCACACGATTTGACAAGCACTTAATTGCTTGTCAAATTACCTCACATTAAAAATAGCTCGACGCGCTTGCTTTTGTTCACGGTGCTTTGGTCTTACAAATGGCGACAAAATGTGAAGGACCACGAGACGCGCGTGTATTATGCGGCTGTTAGAAACAAATAGTGGCACAGCCCTGGTACCTAAAGTCCCTCGATAAAAATCACAAGTTTACCGCCAACCATTGTTTGTGGAAACGCGCAAGACACGTGCCACGACGAGCGGGTCCGCCGTCATTCGCTTGCAAGAGCCGCTCCTTTCAGTGCAGAGCCTCCATTTGCTTCCAAGGGCCGCGCTCGAGACACGGTGGGCGCCTCGTGCTCTGGCGCATTTGACGCTACTTGCAAGAGACACGCAAACACATCCAGGGGCGCTTTACTGTACCCTAGCTGCCCCATGTGGAGCGCAAGTTCGTCTGCTTCTTTTGCAGAAGTTCTGGCGATGTCAGAACGCCAAGCTCTGATAAAGATATAGTGGGTGGACCTCAAGGCAGCTCGCTTTGAGGTCTACCCACTATCTTTCAATCAGAGCCAATCAGAACTCCGCGTCGTTCTGACATCACCATAGCCCCTGCAAAAGGAGCAGACGAACTTGCGCTCCACGTAGTCAATTACAGGTTAAGAAAAGTTTTGAGGGAAAGGGAGGTTGGGGAGGAGGAAGCAGACGGAATGCTGAAGAAAGGAAGAGGAAACCTCATTCTCTCTTCAGCATTTAGTCTGCTTCCTCCTCCCCCCCCCCCCCCCCCCATCCCTCCTTTCCCTAGAAAACTTTTCTTAACCTGTAACTGACTATAGCTACCTTTAGGTCCACCCACTATCCTTCCAATCGAGCCAATCAGAGCTCAGCGTTCTGACGTCAATGAAGCCCCTGTGCGAAATCTTAAAATGTACCACCAACTAGCCCAAGTGAATACCCTTTCAACCTGTGCAAGAAGCAGGCGAACTTGCGCTCCACGATGCGGAGCGCAACAACTGTCGCATTCCCGCCGGCACTCGCTCCTGACACGTGTCTCGTGCGTTCGCACATCACTGGTTGTCGGTGAATATTAACGCATCTCGCGGCGTCTCACAGCGAGCGCGACTGTACCACGCAGCGACGGGACGGGTCTGACGCTTTGCAACGATTTTCGCCCAGCTTCGGCGGGTTTGCCGCTTGGGCCGGGTCGGAGATCCACTAACCGGCCATGACAGCCTATCTGCGCTCTGCCAGAGCCACTAATACCCCTGTCACACGAGCCTATTCCATAAGAAGTCAAGAGCGCGCGCGCACTTATTTGATGGGTGCTCACGCGGCCCTGACGTCACGCTGCTGCGGTGGCGCTGTTGACGGCAC